GTTGACAGCCTATCATGTTATCAGATTCCAGGTTAGCATTATTGGCGCATGAAAGGATTAAATAAATGTTTACGGCATTGAGAGGATAAAGCGGATTGGAAAATGGATGGATGGATATTTTGTAAGAAATATGCTTTTAAAGATTCATGATCAAAATAATTTAGATATTTAACACACATTTAACCCTTCGGTGGTTATACAGTGGACAGCCTATCATGTTATCAGATTCCAGGTTATCATTATTGGCGCATGAAAGGATTAAATAAATGTTTACGGCATCTACAGATGACCTACTGACCTAGACCAAAACATCAATTTTCCCAATGGAAAAAACATTATGATACGTCAATAAACCTGACCCAGCTGCCCACATTTTTTGGGCAGCTGGGGTCACCTATGCACCCTGCCATGCCATAATTATAGTTTTTTTTTACAACACAAAACAAATAATCACATTTTCAAAGCCGCTTTAAAAAAAACAAAAAACATCGCCATAGAGCCACTGGATAAGGTCATGGTGTCGATTTCATTGATTGTTGGTAAATTCCATCTGCTGCCGAGCACCATGTGATCATCTAAAGCTTTCGAGCCTTAGGGGTCAACTGTTTATAATGCCTCGAGGGAAACGCGGCGGCGCATGTGTCAAAGGGCAGCAGATGCGACGGGCACCTGCGCAAACACGACAGTGGCAGGGCTCGGCACACCTCCTGAAAGGGGGGGGGGGCCCACTCGGGGTCGGGGGGCTCGGGCCAGGCTTTGATTTGGACTCATGAGAAGAGGAAAGGCAGCGGCAGGATTCTGCTGCGGATATTCACATGAGTCGTTTAGCTTAATGCCCGAGTGAACTTGGCAGCGCTTTAATACCTTAAACGCAGTGAAAACACCAATGGGCGTTGTGCTAATGCCCAGCGCAAAGCCAGTACCGCTGGGTAAACACTCGTTACGAGTTGAATCGTTTTCTTCAGTGGGGTTGTGTGAGCGGGAGAGATCCAGGGGAGGGAGTTGGGGGTGGATTCTCATGCTAATTCTGAGAAGGGAAAGAAGCTTCGTGCCTTAAGAGCCATGAGAAACACCGCCGCACATGCTAACCGACGCTTAGCGGGGGCGAGGGCACCTTGGGAAACTTGGTAGCCGACCGAAAGTGAAAGCGAGCTTTTGACAATGATTGAAAGACTCTCTTGTATCTGAACGCATCAAGATGCCGAGGTCATTTGCGCCATCAAACCGATCCCCGTTTCTCTGAAAAGTTACCACTGAGCGGGACAGTTTGCTATGAAACGCTAAGTGCCGATCTGGTTCGTGTTTCCACGCTGCAAATGGGCTTCCCATTGCATTCTCGTTGTACCAGAGATGTCCCACAGGTACTGGAAAAAAAACGTTCGGTAAGCCATGAAATAAAAACCGTCACGCTGTGTGAAACTGATGGCATACCAAAGAAAAAGAAACAATCCTTGCCGTGAATATTTGAACTGCAGAAGCTTGAGACCAAGAATGGAGACGCTGTTATTGCTTCCTGGTTCAGGTTCTTCCATTAAAAAATTGGTATCGATGCAAATCTGGATTAGTGCACCCCACTTTGATTCTCTCCGTTAGCGTCTGCAGGGAGATGAAACATGACCTCCTTTGTTGGGATAAAGGGCGAATGACCTTCGGAAAGGCACGCTGACCCGGACTGAGTGGATGCCGATGAGGGGGAGTGGCAGAGGCAGCATTGAAAACAACAAAAAAATGATGGTAGAGGCATGGGGAGGGGGAGTGGGGGGGCGAAGAGGTGGGTCGCCCTTGTTGGCAAAAGCCCGCTGTGCGTCAGTGAATTACAAATCATGGACTTTACGAGCCAAGTCATGAGGTCAGTGGCGTTCACTGACACTTGAGATTCTCCTGGGTGAGAATGAGCTTGAAAACTCTTGGGCGTCATCATTCTTTATGGCACAGCCTGGAAAAAAAAAAAAAAAAAAAAAGGACGGAGAGTGTGGAAACGCTCACCGGAGTGGGTGGCTGGTCCGGTCGGGGAACGGTTCTATTAGCCTTATCAGATGCCGTCATGCATTTCTCTCTCCAAGTTCGTGAGAGGAAACCACTTTGGACCATTTGACATGACTCGCCTCCATGGCCCATTACAGAGACGAGGGGATGGATGGAGGAAGGGAAGGAGGTCTTTCTCTTTTTGTTGACTTGGTATTTGAACGCTTACGTGAGGCAGATGACACAGCCGGTGTCACTTTGATTGGCTTTGGGGTTAATTTTGGTCGAGCAGGACTCAGATTAGCAAAGTGGCTCCCTTTCCAAGTCTCAAACCGTTCATCCCGCAGACACAAAGAAAACAAGAATAAGGGGACACGACTGCGTGTTATCCTGTTTCCACTGGGTGGGACGGTTCAGTTCGGCTCGATTTGGTTGCGTGTGCGTCAGCAGCAGATGTGGGAGTAAATCACATCGGGTGTGTGTAAGCCATAAGTACATCTCAAGTCTGACGATTGAAGTTTTAAGCAAGTCCCAAGGTACTGTGGCAAATATCACGAAAGTCAAGGAAGCGAGTCGTACAATCTCGCTCAGCCGCAACACACATTCTCACGACAGCTCCGCCCCAAAATATTCGGCCTAAAATAGGCGACTTGACTCTGACTCTTGCCCCCCAACCTCTGGTAAGCGGAATGGCGATAACTGAGTCAGATACCTTCACAGTGTGACATCATAATAATGTGCTGACATAATGTGTAAACAAGAAACCAACAGCATGAAATCCTCCTTTAGTCGTCATCATAATCCAGGCTCAACAAACAGCGGTGTATCTACGGTACCGCTGTACTTGGTTCCCTGAAGAGATTGACTGCAGAGGTAAGTCGGGAATTCTGATCGCAAACGCAAGCTGGTCTTACGTGGATTCCCCTTGACAAGATAACTAATATCCCCGCGGTGCAGGGAAAGTCTTCAGCCCTGAGCGGCACCCTTCTGGCCCCGCTATTCACATTTTAATAGGCTTGAAGGCTTTCGGGAGCAGAATTAGAATGATATATTCCGATTATAGCAAGCGTCAGTGAGCGTCAGCCAGTGCGAGAGGTGACTTGGGGGTGGTGAGTGGTGAGCGGAAGAAGCCTTATTGTCGTTTGCGCTATTGGAGGATATCCTTGTCCCGTCCGCCTCTGAAAATGGGACATCTGACCTTTGCTGAGAAAGAAAAAGGCGGGGAAAGAACTATTGGGTGGAAGGTTAGCGAGGGGCGGAGGCCGCTCAACTTCATTTTTCGCCATTCAACCGAACTTTCCCCTCTTTGTCAATAGCTCTCTAGAACAACTTGACACTGATGTCTCTTCTCACTTCATAGGATCTAAAAGGAAAAAAAGCTGTAAACAGTAGAAAACATACGCATTTTGTTTGTTGTCACTTAATAATTGTTTGTACAAAAAGTTGTTATTAGTAGAAGTGGTAGTGTGGAAAAACAGTAGCTTTAATTAGTACAAAGATGAGAAATTTAGGATGCTTTTATTTTGTAGGATGTTACGAAAAACTTATTGGTAGGTCTGATTCATAGAAAACTTAAAGAATTTGTTTGGCTTCCCTTAGGAGGAGTTTGGACAACGGACCATATGAACGCACCATTTCCGCGTTTGGGCTACGGGGCCGCGCTAGCTTCCGGTCGCTAGTCTAACACATAGCGATAGTATGAAACTCTTCAAAAACAAACTTGCAATCTGCTAAAATGACGTCACGTTACCATAAATGACGTTTGACCTAATTATCTGCTGTAGTTATCCAAGTGTCGACGAAGTGTACAAAGGATCATACATCATTTAATACATATACTGTATATATTCTTTCCAAAATATGTGATATTTGACTTGGTAGGAACTGATCCAATAACTTAATAACTGTTTCCCTCCACATCCCAACAAAAACGTAATATGTACGTGGGGTTTGGGTTTGTGAGTTACTGTGCCCCAGCTCATGTGTACGGATCCATTACATCCAGGCCCATCCCGGTCTCTTGAGGAAACTCGACGTACTTCCAGCAATTCAAAGTCTCTCCACTCTATGCTCTGAATGCCACATGAACTAAGTAAACACTAAAACCAAACACTCAAAAGTGGCCTTTGTGTGAGGGGTTTATATGCTGCCCATTCAATATGTGTGTGACAGCGTGGGAGTAGGAATTGTAAAAAGTCAGTAGAAAGTAGAGAGAGTCAGGAGAGAGAGAGAGAGAGAGAGAGAGAGAGAGAGAGAGAGAGAGAGAGAGAGAGAGAGAGAGAGAGAGCTACATGGCTAGATAGATACATATCTATCTATCTCGCTATCTAGCTAGCTAGCTATCTATAAATGTCTTGAATCCTTGTGTGTATGAAGTCCGACCAAGTGATGTTTTTTTTTTTTAGAAGAAAAGGTGTATTTTTTTTCAATAATAAAAGGTGTAATATTTCAGAAATAGAGTTGTATTTTTTAAATTCACTTGTGAAGATATGACATTCTGTCCCATTAATATCATAGCATTACAACGTAATTTTTGAAAAATACAATTTTTCTCGGTAGTGACATTTTTTTTCTTGAAAATAATATAACTTTATTCTCATAAAATGTTGTGGGAATAAAGTTGTTTTCTCTCAAAAAAAAATATGACTCAACAACTTTTCTTTTTCAAAAATTGGCAACTTTTTAATTTGGATGGAGTACATATGTGTACACCTGGTTTTAGCTGCCATTCGGATTATAAAGTGGTCCTTGGAAAAATGTCTCCCCTATTAGGGGTCCCTGGACCCAAAACGTTTGAGAACTCTACCAAAAGTGGATTTCTTTTTTGCCCTGCAAGCATATCGGAGTCGGCTTACTGATCTTTCCTGATGCTGTTAAGGCATTAATAGCATCCTGACTGCGTCCCGCCTTTCACTCCTTCGCACACAATGGGATTACCTCTGAGCGGATCTCTGCCAAATCCCCACTGACTGTTCCATCTTGCTTTTGTTGTCAGTCAACTCTGGTCACGACATTCTCTCTCTTTTTTTTTTTTAATTTAATTTGAGAACTGGTGAGCAAATAAGCAACTGGGGTACACAATAAATCCTTCACGATACCTGGGATGCCTCCAATGTGAGGAATGCTTCACTTTTATTCTGAGGTCAAAAGCACTTACACTCTGTACTTTAGGCCGAGTACACACATAAGGATATTTCATATCTTAAGTGACTGTTAATCAGTTAAAAACTGCACTCAAAGAAATAAAGATAAAAAATAAATAAATAAATAAATAAAAACGCCATTTGACAATTTTGATTGCACTGTGTGTGGTGTGCTCAGATAATCTCAACACAAACCACCACACATAAAGATTCTTACCCACCACCGGACTAAAAATTAAGCAAAAAATAAAATAAAATAAATAAACACTGTCAGATAAAGCAAAAAATAAAATAAAATAAATAAACACTGTCATAGACCCGGTCCCGACATTTCCTGAGTGTTTCCAATGTCTTCAAAAAGAGTTGCTCTGAATCTTGCCACCTGGGGCAAAAATCGAGGAGGTCATGTTTTTTTTTTTTCTTTACGATTGTTTGCTTATTTATCTTGTTCTTTGATTGGCTACATTCTGTTCCACGCCAGGTCTCCCCGTGCTTGCGTGGGTTTTCTCCAGGTACTCTGGTTTCCTCCCACATTCCAAAAACATGCATGCATGCAAATTAATGAAACACTGTAAATTGTCCCGAAGTGTGATTGTGAGCTCGGATAGTTGTTCGTCTATGTGTGCCCTGCCATTGGCTGGCAACCAGTTCAGGGTGTACGCAGCCTACTATAGCCTCCAGTACGCCCGCGACCCTTGTGAGGATAAAGCGGATCGGAAAATGGATTGGTGGATGTTCCACGTCACAGTTCACGGAGTCATGTCTGATTTCCCCACACACCAAGATAACACACATCGTAAATAGTGAACACATTAAGTACTGAAAATTGAGAGCACGACTTGTATAAGTTGAAATACTGAACTCAACAAGTAAAAAAAAGTAAAGACAGTAAAATGTCTTGGCTCAGGTTTTATTCCTAGCGAAACAAGAGAATCTCCGTGGTTCAGACGCCTCCACAGTATGTCTCTGCTGTCCCTGTTTTTCCACCTTATAAGTCAAAATGTGGGGCGTAAGAGTAAAAAGTTCACAAAATGAAATACTCGGGTAAAGTACGGATAACCCAAAAAATCTACTTCAGTGCATAACTATGTATGGCCTTTGAACGGTGGAAGGCTAAAGGTGAGAGACGCGACGCGCAAACTGTGGCTCTGGAATTCCACTGTAACGTGCCTGTGTCGCTAAGTCTGCGTCTTGTGTCTGTGTGGGCCCGCGTGGGTGTCTCGAGTGGATGACTGTGGCTTCACTGGCAGCGTTTACAACGATCCCCCCCCCGTCAAACATTTTTGAGGAGCTCACCGCTGAAATCTCCCGCAGTCCAAATACACCAACTCGGCTTGTTGCGAACAAACCCGAGGCCGTATTCGCACACATTCATTGTGGTTCGCCCGCGATATAATGAACACGTAGGAGTGATTCTAAGATCAGGTCCTACGTATCTTTGGCTGGATTTGCACTGCAGTTTCAAGTTGCCAATTCGGATTAAATGTCTGTATCAGAGGTTTGAATTTATATTCATGAAACCCAAAAAAATAAGGCCCAAATTGCACTACATCAATTTCAAAACATGACTGCGCCAAATAAAACAAATAGAGCGGTGACTCGAGATACGAGTGACACATTTCCAAACTGTGTCACTTGGGAATGAAAACGTCGGGATTGTGTCACTTGAACTCTGCATTGTAAATCCAGCCTTTGTTTCCTGATGTGTGTCACCAAAAAAAAGTCACAAAACACACGCACAGTGCAGTGGCTGAGTGGCTGAGGTCAGCAGAGTGGTCTACAGAGAGAAACCATGTCCTGCCCCTCCCTCGATGTGGCAATTGGGGGCCGCTACAGCAGCATGTGCTTACTCAGAGAGATTTTATTCACAGGAATAAATACCTTTTTTTTTTGTTTTGTTTTTGTTTTTGTTTTCTAAGCAGGCATATCCTGGGACACGCTCAAGGTTTCAGCAGCAGGTTCCTGTGTTGCTGTTGGCTTGTGGGCACGCTTTAAACTGGACAAAAAATGTAGTCATTGTTGTTTGTAGAAAAATAGGAGGGTCCCTGGAGACCCCGCCCACTCCTCAAGTGTGACATTTAGCCACCAAGTAGATCTTGTTATCCTATTTCGGAAAATGAAAGTTCGACTTTCTGCATCTCTTCCCCACTGTTACATAACAATAGAGCAAATTTACATAATAACCACGCGAGTTTCTCTGCCTATGTCATGATCAGCTGGACGGGGTGAAGATCCAGAGCCACTTTCAAGTGACAAGACAGAGATTGCATGAGTCCATGCAACACACACACTGCTGCCACCTTGAGTCCAAGTGTTTTTTTTTTATCGTCTTTTTCTCTCACACTCTGAGCTCTGCTTCCCTAAGTAGAAGCAGGCAGCCATCTGTTGTGCACACTTGCTGGCGAGAGGACAACAGCCAGAAATGCAGAATGATGACCAGATTACAAAACATGGCCCGAATGTGCACTCGCAGACCAGCTACGTAGATACTTATGGCTAAGATTCAATTCGCTGTTTTGCATACACTTGCTGGCAAGAGCAAGCCCACTGTTATGCATACAGTATACACTCAGTGACAAAACGTATCCCGCAGTTACGTACACACTTGCCAGCGAGATCCGGCCCACTTTTAGGAATACACTTGCTGGTGAGTTACACCCCGGCAAGAGCCAGCCTTCTGTTACACACTTGCTGGCGAGATCAAGTCTACTGTTATGCATATACACTCACTGACAAAACCAAGCCCCCAGTTATGTACACAGTTGCTGGTGAGATCCAGCCCAGCTGGTACTCACCAGCGAGATCCTGCCCACTTTTATACATACACTTGTTGGTGACATACACCCTAATGTTACACATGCACTTGCTGGTGAGATTAAGCTTGCCTGTTCTGCATACACTTGCTAAGAGATCCAACCTGCTGCGAAGCATACACCCGCCGGCGAAATCCAGCCTGCTTTTAGACTCATCATTGGTCTAACAGTATGTGGCCCAGGATGAGGGCTGGACCAATTGCTTGACAGCCATTCCCTAAAAATGGGCTACTTTCATCAAGACCACCCAAAAATGGTGTGTCAATCATTCCTGATCTTATTTTGACAAAAGCACGTCCCAGAGATGGCAGCACGAGTGGACGAGTCCATCTGCATATGAGCTCTGAGGTTTGGGCTTTGAAGCTTGGCTTTGGCCTTTCCTTGTGTGGAGCAGGCATATTCAACATGTGTTTTCGAGATTTTCTCCACCCATATTTGAAAAACATCTATGTGAGGTTCACTGAAGACACGATATTGTCCATAGGGCGTGAATGTGACTGTGAATCATTGTCTATATGTGCCCTATGATTGGCTGGCGACCAGTGCACGGTGCACCCAGCCTCTCACCCAAGACCAGCTGAGCTCGGCTCCGACACACCCTTCCTTACACAATCTTATTGCGAGAGTTATTGAGACACCTGGAATGCATAAAACACCTCCTTTAAGAGTCCCCTGCTGCTGTTTTGTTGGAAATCAGATCCACTCCCCCTGTTAACAAGTAGAGGGAGGCAAGGGGATATTTATAATGTCTTTAAAAAAAAAAAAAAAAAGATTAATTCATTGGTGCACCACAGTGGTAGTTGAAAGCGCAGGCCAAGCACTCAGCTGTTTCTATGAAGGGGAAATCTGAGCAGCGCCCAAGGTAGTTGAGCGGGGGTGGCAATCGTGCTATGTGGCCGCTCGATGGGCCAGCTCGCTGACTGGCTGACTGGGCGTTGCGCTCTTGATGCCATAATGGCATTATTGCCCCAAGGGACAAAAGTCTGGCAAGAGAAAGGAGGGCTACGATCGTCTTTGAAACCCGACGCTTGTGTTTAGGATAACGGCTCACGGCATTTCTTCCCTTACCTTGATCACGGGGGGGACAATGGGTGTCAAACCAGAGCCCACGTGTGAACGATGTTTGCAACGGTTAGTGTGGAGTTCTTCTTTTTATGTTAACAGGATAAGGCCCCGGTGACAACAACCAGAGGTGGCTGAAGTACTCACACACTCTACTTAAGTAGAACTACAAAAACCAGGATAAAAAGACTCTTGTATTAGTTGAAGTACTGATTCAACTACTTCAGTAAAAATAGGATAGATCCTGAAATGCAATTACGTACAAAAGTAAAAAGCAATCATGAGTTGCTAGTCAATTATATGCCAATTGTACAATGCCAATTTTGATGACTTGGAACAAGAAAACCCCCCTTTTTTTAATACTAAGCGCAAGCTAGCATTAGTTTTTTTGTTATAAAAACAACATGTTTCCATTACATTTAACAACAATACGAACTGAGTAGCTAAAAATGATAAGTTAGCTAATGTTTACAAGTAACTAGCTGATCTTGTAAGGAGTACAAAGCACTGATGTCGATTTTCAAGAGTTGTCCGAAATATAAATTCTCAAAGCACAGATGACTGAAAACTCGAATTCAACATTTGTTCTTCAGTACTTCCCACCGCTGGCCAACCTTTCAGATCAGGTCAAGCTCTTCAAATCAAGATACAGAGCTGATCAGGATCCAAGTGCTAGCCACAGCCGAGCAGATAAGCGCTACAAGACAAAACGCCCTCCAACCAACAATTTCTCGCTCATTCAATTATTCGCCCCCCACCCCACAAAAAAACTCCGTCTGCCACAGACCCGTTGTTCCTCATTAGGGGAAACAAAGGAGCTCCGAGATGCATCAAAAGGCTTATTGTCCTCAGTGAAACAGTGAAAAGTCCCAACCCCCGCACCCCAAACATAGCATCTCTAAATCCACACAATATGCGCATACACACACACACGCTCATAGAGAGGATTGTTCGTAAGAGAAAGTGACAGACAAGAGAGGCCTGTGTACCAACAGGGAGGCCCAAGCTGGGACAGCATGGTGCACCACAACCATGCAGTGAGGACCGCAGCTTGGTCTCTTGGCTAGCACTGCTACACTTGAGAGACTCAAAAGTCCATCGATAGGCTTCTTCTTCTCATATCATGCAACTGGATCTACACAAGTCTCTTAATCGCTTCATTATTCCAATAGCGGATGAAATGCTGTTGCCCCCCCCAAACTCCCCTCCCCCACAAATGTTTGTCACGTTTTAAAACTAGCCCACTAAAGTGCATTTTTATAATACCCATCTAGATGTGTACCTTCATCATTTGTGTTCAAAACTGTTGCTTGAAAGATAACGCCATGATGACGATGCTATTGACGAGCACTTCGATGGTGTTTCCCATTATGTGTTAGCATTCAGCCAGTAGACTTTAAAAAGGCAATTTGGGTCACTGTAAGAGAATATGCACAAATTCCACACAGAAAGGTCAGATTCAAGATTCAAATCCAGAACCGATGAACTGTGAGGCAGACCTGCTCACCACTCGTCTGTCGGCTGCCGCTATAATTCCGGACAAATCATTTGGACAATTGTACCCCGACAAAGGTTTGGGGATTCAGTTTTCCATTTTAACCACAAATCCAGCAAACAACTTTTGGGATGAATTAGACCCCCCCCCCCCAAAAAAAAAAATCCCACTTCAAAACACCGTATTTTATCTCATTTCACTTCATGTAAGTGTGATGGCCGCATGTCCCAAACATTTTTGTCCGCATGCTGTATTACAATGAGTGTCGGTAAAAGCCTCGAAAGCTTCCCAGCCCTTATTTTCTGTGGGAGTAACGACATCCTGAGCTAGCCAAGATCCCGCAAAGGCAATAAAAAGATAAAACACACACACACACACACACACACACACACACACACACACACACACAGTTTACAGTGAGACGCTGGGGTGTAATTGCGCACTTATCTAAATAAGCACTGGTGAGTGTGTTTACCTGAGAGAGCTGTCATCATAAATGATCGTAAAAACTATTGTTGGACAACGGTAAACGTCAGCTGCGCCGTGAAAAATGAACAGGTCAAAAAGTGTCAAATATAAAAGGGGACGAATACTATCGGCGTCAAAAGATGGTCAATTTGTTTCTATGGAAACCACACAGGGACAGATGTCAACGCCCGTCATGGCCGCTATAGAGACAAATAAAATTACATTTAATATGTTGATCTAATTTTTGGAAGCCCCGCAACTTTTGTCTATTCATCCATCCATCCATTTTCTTATCCGCAGGCGTGCTGGAGCCTATCCCACAGCCGTCTTCGGGCAGTGGGTGGGGGACACCCTGAACTGCTTGCCAGCCAATCGCAGGGCACACATAGACAAACAACCATTTTAAATTCAGCATATTTGGACATACGATGCTTCCGCCCGACTGCGATTCTCTGCTTTATCCTGAGACAGAGACGAGCAGTCTGATGTGCACAAAAGCACAGATTTTTAGTTTTCTTTATTTTCCAGATTCTGATTCTTACAAAATTATTTTTTGTTCAGTTTCTCTGCAGCCCGATACCAAATGGCACACGGACCTTCAGATTACATCTAATGACACCTCTGGGCACCCATAAAGCCCATGGAATATACTTAAACACACACACACACACACACACACACACACACACACACACACACACACACCTCTAATAGCAGCCTTAGGCAGACACACAAATCCCAGGGGTTCAGGCATTTTAGTCAGGCGACAGACCAGCCAATGATGGAATACGATGCCACACACACACACACACACACACACACACACACACACACACACACACACGCACACACACACACAAACCACCACAACATAAGGGACAGAGCAGAGTCTGCATCATGGCACACATTCCTTCCCCTGTTGTCATCTGCTAATGTGCTGCATAACACAAGGATGCCATAGGACACCGCAACGCAAACACGCACACCGCATCTCGCAAGACGTAAACATCATCGTCGGTATAATTTTCGATCCCGACGGCATATTTTGTTGCCGCGCGTCTCGCGAATGTCACAAAGTAGGCATGCGGTCGCTATATGTGTCTATTTCCTTTCCCAACTTTGACCCCGTTTGCCTCGAAAAGAGTTTAAAAATAAAATGAAATCCATGTCAACCCTTCTGTGTTGTTGTGTTGAGCGACTGTGAATGACTTTGTAGTACACTTAAGAGGTGACCAGTCCAGATTCAAGGAAAGGGAAAGCGGAGTTACATCTTAATATCCGACGCTTGAAACAAAGTGATGAACAAAATCCAAACGTCACGTAAACATTGAATCCAAGATTCAGCTCGTCTGGTGTCCATCAAGCTACTCCTCTTATAATCGTAATTCAATTGTACGATTCCATGGAATTACTCCTGAACATCCCGCGCTTGAAAAAAAAAATCAATATAAACACATCACGTCAAAGTTTCACCCAACCTCCGAGCGAGTCAGTGAATGCGTCTTATCAGTTTCGAACTGTGTTCTGTCAACCCGCTGCTCTGAAACTCTTGACTGAGACGTACAAGGCCAAACAACCCACTGCAGCACACCGCCGACTACACCATCGCGTGCCCTTTGCTTCGCTCCCAAAGTGACGCCAGATGTCACATCAAGAGAGCTTTGGTCACCGCGTGGCAAGCAGATGAAGAATTTGAGAATTTCCAGGAAATATTTGCGGAGTCCGACTCAGCATTGAAGTGGCCAAGAAGCCCGAGAGGTTAAAGCTGTCCGGTTTTAATGAGCGGCACCGCGTGACTGCTTTGCAGTGCTACGGCGGCTAATGCCGGAAAGGATAGGGTGTGTGGAGGGTGGGGGGGTATTACACTAATGTCTCCCGGGACACTCGGGGAGCTGATTCCTCGGAGCTCAAAGGCTGAACTGCAGTTCCTAATTTCCCCGAATATCACTCATCAAAGTGCCCAACGCCTTTTGGCAAAAGGTGACTGTGGCTCATGTTTTGACTGACGTAATCAAGCCACCGTCAGCCCAATGTTGACTTAGAATGTCACTCAGTAGCATGGAAACACTTCCAAAAAAAATTCTAATTAGGATCGACGCCTATAAATCAGACATTGAACACAAGCAAAAAAAACAAAAAACAAATGCAGTATCTTGCAACGCTAACAAGCTAGATTTCCTCAAACAGTGTCCATCCCTAATGTCACGTTTGCGAGGTGGCGGTGGACCCCAAAAAAAGCAGGTAAGAGGGAGGAGCAGGGTTCACTTGACAAATTGTATTAAAACATAGAGAAAACTAAATCCAAAACATCCAAAGTCCAAAGTATCAAACAAAAATCATGACTGAAGCTAAAACATAACAGTGACTGAAACATGACTGAAACAAACCTGACAGCAGCAAACAAACAAACAATGACCCGACAATGAGTAGTCGGGCGGGAGTCCTTTTATACAACTAATTACATAATGACCAACAGGTGTGCAGCTGCAGGGGGAGCCCTACAGTGCCACCTGTTGGTCCCAAACCGAAACATGACAATTCCACCCCTACTAGAACACTGCAGTCCACCAAATACAGGCTCGAGTACCAATAAAGCATCCCCCCATTTGAAGTTGCGTAGATGCTTGGAAAAAATAAATAAAAAAATCCAACAAGCATGCCTTTATCAAGATCTGCATTAAAACTTAATCAAGTTCCTTAGTGGAGGTTACAATATTAGATCCTTAACATTTCAGGAGCTTCCAATTTCAACAGTGGCCGCTTTTGCATTGTGGAAAATGTAAACATGGCTTTTTTTTTTCCTGTGAGTTTCCCCCCCCCCCCCCAGGCCCCCCATAGGATAAGGGACAATAGTGTCTGACTTTTCACAAGCCTGACAATGCAGTGTCGCAACTGACAAACAGAACCGCGCGCCATACATCATAGCAAGAAGCAGACCCAAAGAAAGAACTGGACGGAAGATGGCGAAGCCAGACTCTGAGAGTGCGGTCGCCGCTGCGTGCTTGTGAGACTGTGAGTGTGCGTGTGCATGTGCGTGTTTGTGTGTGTGCCCGTCCTGCTGTGTTTATGCATCATTAGCAACTGAGATTACCAGAATCAAAGCAAAAAAAAAAAAAAGGGAACCCACCGGTGTGATTATGGGGCACCTCAGATGTTCTTTTTTCTTTTTGCCCGAGGTTGTGTTGCTGCTAGACATTAAAAAAAAAAAAAAAGTGTGTGTTTATGTGCGCGCGCTGGCAGATGGACAAGAATGGTATTATAGTGTGGGCCTTTTCACTCAACAACACACAAACAGGACAATCTGAGGCCCTTCACACACCCACATTCCTTGTCCCACACCCCACCTTTGTTAAAGCCCCCGTCATATCCCTGCGACCCCCCCACCCCCCACCCCCTTGTCCCAGCCCGGATCACTAAAAGTGGGCCAACCAATCGCCACGGGGCAGCCAGATTGCATTTAACATGACAAAAGAAAAGTGGCCATTTGTGCCTATTGTGTTCACATGCATATACACGAGGAATGCCGTCTCCCAAATCCGCTTTCCTTTGGTGTATTTTTCTTGAAGTTCTCTCAAAATGAACTCCGGCTTGACCGTGTTCTCATATTCTAACATGCAAAATGCCTTTTCGTTGCTCAAGTGACTCTTGTCCCTTGAAAACAAAGAAAATGGCAAAACCTTGGACTCGCATTGCAGTTCAACTCACGTTGAACATGAAACATAGTTAGCTTTGACATAATTTGACATCATTTGAGCGAGAACTGGCCGTTATTGGACTATGAGATGATGTCATTATTTTGGAACATCATCCACACACGCAGTATGTGTGAATATGTGTGTGTTCTTCAGTCTTTACAAGCCAAGGAAGTCAGTGCAGCCAGGAAATGTGTTTCATGTGCGCTTGGAAGAGCTCATCTGTGTGACTTTTTCTGTCTATTTTTTTTTCCAAGTGCAGATGAAACACTTTAAAGCTCTTGGAAAAAAAAAAACCTTGCGAGTTTCTCAGACAAGGCAGTAAAAACAAACGCGTAACATCTCGGTTGCCAGTGTCACATGTTTGGCGACTGCATGCCTTTTCCATCGAGTGCTTTTTGGCGGTGCGATTCGCACCTGCTCTTTCAGACACAGGGTCCTCGCCTTGGATGGGAGAGGCATTCCCCTCGTGCCGCAACACATGCTTAAGCAATTATTAGGCCGGGCAAAGTGGGGGCAAGATGGGGCGCTTTGGACAACAGGTGAAGTTAACCCATAGATTGGAGCGCAGCTTTTGTATTTCTTCCAGAAAGAGAGGCAGACGAAAAGCTATCGGACATTAAAAAGTTAAAGGACAAGCCAATAAGAGGTCAACTAACTTATTAAACAAGATTAGACAGAGAGAGTGTAGCCCACAGGTCACAGAACAACAATCCGGCTAACACCAATTCATCACAAGTTTTCAGTGTTAGCTGAATAGTTAGCACATCTGTTTGACTGTTGAGAGGTTCCGGGTTCCAATCTCAGCTCAAGACTTCCCGTGTCTCTGTGCTTGCATGTGATTTCTCCTCCCACTTAACAACAAAAAAAAAAAAAAAGCGTCTTAGGTTCTTTGAAGACTAATTTGTACTTTGGTGTGAACGTGGCAGGTTGTTTGTTTATATGTTACCCCCCACGATTGGCTGGGGACAATTCTCGAGTGTAGTCCATCTTGTTAAATGTCTACTGGGACAGGTTTCAGCTGAGCCATGACCCATTATGACGTCAAATGTCACAAAAAATTAAATAAAAACAAAAACCAATAAAGGACACGTGTTGCATGAAAAATTGCTTGTGTAATCAGGATTCTATCAATTTTAAACTCAATTCCAGTTTCTGCTGCTTAATTTTCTCTATTGCCTGTCCCAGCTGACATTGGGTGACAGAAGCGGGGAGCCACTTAATATAAACAACAGCCACTCAAAATGATCATTTGCACAAATGGAAAATGCTGAGTTTTCAAAGAACATAACACGCATGTGTTTAGAAAGTGCGGAAGAAGTGGGATGCAAACTCCGCACAGGAGGGCCAACGCTGAGATTCAAACCCAAGACCTCTCGACTGTGAGTCAGATGTGCGAACCACTGTCCAACCCTCCTATACAGAGCAAACATCAATCAAACCGAGTGTTATTTAACAGGAACAACTAGACAGGAACTCAGAGCATTAAATAAATACACAAAGCAGAACCAACGACACAAACTCAGCAGGCATTCATCAGCATCTTCATAATTCAACAACATTTTGTCTGTATGGACAACTCTGTCTGGAATGGCACCATGGATCTTTTTTTTATTAAATGGCACAAGGGGTTGGAAGCAGATGGGGGTACCGGTGCTATTTAAAGGGCAGGTCACAACACTTCAAAACATTTATGCCCTTGGGGACACAGTGTGGCAAGGAAGGCAGCATATATAAAGTGAGGGGCGGAATGTAACTGCGTTAAAAACAAACAAACGTGGTGCATTATTTACAATGCATTTTCGATATTCTGTTGCACTGGAGCTGCATGATAAGATGTTACAGCACATTAATTGGCCGATAACCAGCAATACTTTGAGAAACGATAAGCTTTCTGATTGACAGCCGTTACAAACCACGGAAGCAACTGTTAATGCAGTCATAGAAGAGACAAAAGTCATAAATAAAATGAAAAAAACAAAAACAAAACAGGAGTTAAATGTAGTTGTGCGCTCACCAAGTAGAAGACAGAAGATGTCCAGAGCAACCAGAAGCTTCCTCTTGCTATTGTCGGCACCGTTGTTGTTGTTGTTTAACGTGGAGCTTCCCCCGTTCCTTGTCTCTTGTGCCATGGCTTTCTCATACAGGTAGTTTTGCATTGGACAACTCCACTCGTGTCGGATACGAATCCCACGGGTGCGCGCGCACTGGGCAAAACTGTCAGTTCTTTAAAAAAATAAGATATCTATATATATTTACATACAAAAATAAAATATAAAAACACACAAAAAAAGAAGTCCCAAAGTTGGGGAATATTGGGGGGTTTCAGCGCCGGCGAGTACTAAATGAACGGCAGCCAAGCGCCACTTTGCATTTCTTTAGAGAAATGAGGCGCACATCGACAGACGCTCTTGTTATATCTTCACGCTTCTACTCCTCCTCCTCGTCCTCGTCGTCGTCTTCCTCCCCCTGCTCTCTCTCTCTTCAAGTTTCCTCAGCAGACTGTCCACAAGGTTCAGCCCTCAAGCGGCTCCATCCCAGCATGGAAAACTTTTTTTCCTCTAGCCAGGATGGATGAGCCCGGACAGCTAAACACGTCCATAGCGCCCCTGGTGGTTACATTCAGTACGACACGCGCACCAGAGACCTTTAATCTGATAGAAAAAGGCGTGTTTGGCGCCACCCACTGGCCAAAAATATATTAATGCTGGATTTTAAAACTCGTTGAATCTCTGCGGTGGTGGTTCTCAAATGTTTTTTCACCAATTACAGTACCACCTAATTTCTATTAACTCTCAAAGCCCAAAGTGTTAACAATCATGACAGATGTTTAATTCCTTAAAAAAATTCGTATTATTGTAAGCCATTGTAACATGATGAAGAAATTCCACACTGCCTCCAGTTATAATCAAATGAGGGATCTGCATTTTTCTTTCCAGGGGGTGGAAATTCCAACATTGTTTCGGCAAAGCTCCTGAAGCCCAAGCTCACAGGTCAGCGCGAGGCTGCGGAGGTGACGGGCAATGAGTGCGCCTGCTAATGCATGGTGAATGATTGATACCTTGTTGGTCATGCCTTCTGTTTCTGATTGGTTGTTCTTCCTCGGGCACGATGGTTACTCAAAAAAATCTAATCGGAAATACAAAATTGACCAAGAGAGATTATTGATTCGATTTTTTAAATGTAATTTTTGCCAAAAATTATTTTACTAATGTCGCTACTATCACGACAAACGGACAGTTATAGCATTGTAATTTTGCTAAAATCACCCATTAATGTCAGACAGTGGTGTAGTCTTATAGTGACATCTAGTGGCCAGAAACCCAAATTACTTCAACCGGAACCGTCCATCTGCGCGGGATTCGGTTTACCAGTCATTCTCGGAGAGTGAATGGGCGTGTGTACGTTTGTTACAGTGTGATATTACGTTTTCATTTGTGTATGTGTGGGGCGGGAGGGGTGGGGGACGTTTGTTTTTATGCGTACGATGAATTTGCTTTCAAGGCAACGACGTGAAGTAGTGGTGCGTCCGCTTATGGTCACCTTTAAAGCCGAGAGAGGCGGGGTCATCCGTGAAGCACCGTCTTCCCTGAGCAAAGACACGAAGCGCCCCTCCCTCCGCGCGCCCCGCTGATTCACAGGCGAGCACAGCCACCCACTCGTCCACTCCGCGGTAACGCAGCGGAGACCCCAACCATCGCCGAACAGAGAAAGATGGCAGAGCGGCAACAGCAGAAGCACGAAGGCAGGGTGAAGATCGGCCATTACATCCTCGGTGACACACTTGGAGTGGGGACTTTCGGCAAAGTAAAGAGTTAAGTCGTGTTCATTATTGCCTTGTTTATGTTTGTGTGTATTTCGGTTGGGAAGTAGTTGACGTGAACCCCTCTCCTCCCCTTTTTTGGACGTGTGGAATCCAAGTTCGCGATGGTTAGTTGTTTTGCGCATCTACGCTGAGCAACCTTCGCGACGTAAGATCGCCAACGCGTAAATGCGATTCAAGAATACGTTCTCTTGAAAGTCAAATTCTTCCACCAAAACTGACCACCATCACTCGCTTTCTATGGGGCAGGTGGATTTGCTTGGACGACATAGTTTAAAAAAATGACACCAGTATACTGGTATTGCCAGTTTTATTTATTTATATTGTAGTTTTTTTCAGCGCCTTACGCTAAAGGACACCGGTTTAGCTTGTCGTTAACCTACCTTCTGTTTAAGATTAATTGGATAGTCTCGTTTCTAATTTACGCGGCTCAGAGTCTAGCGTCTCACCGTGTTGGTAGCTAAATTAGCCACTTAAACGCCTTATAAGTCAGGGGAGAAAAGCCACATAGTACGTGCTAATTACAGAGGCGTACATTTTTCACGTCAGCTAGTGACCACTTGTGACCTTGTGAGCCTCAACTTGACCACTCGCCGAATGTCAATGTAACAAGACCTTCATTTCACACGCAGTTGATGCTACAATACAATAAAACGTCCAGCAGGTTGTATCGTGTGAAGTAATTACATTATAGCAAGACGTACTCCACCCCATTTTGCATAAAATACAATTAAAGTCGAAGGTAACGCTAGCTGCATATAGTGCCATTAACAGTTAGGATTACCTACCTCCCCTTTTTGTGCTAATGCTTAATAATTGATGCTTGGAAGTGAAGCTTTTTAGGCGCATAAGCACTCTAAAAAGCTGTGCAACAGGTTTCCAAAACAACCCATTAGGAACTCCTCTCTCCTTGGCACCCACAAACATTCACTTGCAAATCTAAAATGTTCAAATAAATGTTGCAAAATTGTAAAAACTGTATGATGCAGTTTTACACCTCTGGAACAATGAAAAAATAAATACCAAACCCAAACTATTATATATCTAACAACTTTTAGCAAACGCACACTATTGTTTAGGATCAACTTTCAGAGACATCCGATAATCGGACCTTTGGTGACATTGATTTGCCGGGAAAAAGTTCAGTTCAATTAATGTTTTTTTTAAAATTAAAATTTCCAAAATCTTGGATTACGCTGGAGATAGTTTGAGTAATTTTAGCAAGATAGTTTTTATTTATCTACTTGGCTTTTATTTATTATTTATTTTAAATGTACCTTTTGTTTGTATACATTATGCTTTGAAATGTAATGATGTGAATTGTGAAGCACATTGAGTTACCTTGCGTATGACATGCACCATCTAAATAAATCACCTCAGTTAATCTCAAACGTGTGTCTTTTTTGTATCCTTTTTTTTTCTTAGTCGGAGAGCACCAGTTGACGGGGCATAAAGTGGCCGTGAAGATCCTGAACAGGCAGAAGATCCGCAGCCTGGATGTGGTGGGCAAAATCAAACGGGAGATTCAAAATTTGAAACTATTCAGGCATCCACACATCATTAAGCTGTGAGTGACGAACGTCAGTTTGACTGGCCTATTGTGGCTTTTGCTGTGCTCGTTGCTGTTTGTTTACCACCGCTGCACCGCCACCGAACATGCCCGCGAGGCTCACAGAAGGTAGAACGAACGCAGACAAGTCAGCTCAAGTTAAGACAGCACTCCCCGCATTGACTAAATCCTCACCAATGCGTCTTGGCTCCTCTTGTACAATGTTTTTCCCTTTGACCTTGCCTGCTTCCTCCCTCTCCCTTTCCCGCTCTCTCCTTCTGGCAAAGTGCGTCTCGACAAGCTCCGTGTTATTTTTAGGCCCCCTCTGAGGGTCAGCCCTCTGTCACACTGGAAGTTATGGCAGATATGCAAACTCTGAGCGGGTACGCTGTGGATCACTGCTACTGATGTATACACGATGCACTCAAACACGCTTTTTTACAAGAGGCTTCAAGCGTTGGTCAACGTGAAATAAACCCGCAGACGGCGATGAACAGCCAAATCTCACAAGCAGCCATTCATGAGATTGGGATTTTTATTCCCCGTGACCCTTTTTTCGATCGAAAAAGGATTTTTATTCCCCGTGACCCTTTTTTCGATCGAATAATCATGACTCAGCGGCCATACATCACGACTCAGCCTTGCCTTTTCCTGTACGACTGAGAGCCTCCACAAGCAACAAAGATCGAATAATCATGACTCAGCGGCCGTACATCACGACTCAACCTTGCCTCTGCTGTTTTTGTTTCAGTGCCTTTATGCATTAAACATACTGAGGATACATTAAGAGGCTTTGGGATCAGACAGGAGCCGTTCATCAATGTTTCTCCAGTTTTATGAAACACGTGCTTGTGTTTCAGATACCAAGTGATAAGCACGCCAACAGATTTCTTCATGGTCATGGAATATGTGTCTGGTGGAGAGCTTTTTGACTACATCTGTAAACATGGACGGGTAAGGCTTGATTGATTTCTTCACAGGAAGGACATTTTAGGTGGAATGTTGTTTCAATGTTTCTCCAGTTTTATGAAACACGTGCTTGTGTTTCAGATACCAAGTGATAAGCACGCCAACAGATTTCTTCATGGTCATGGAATATGTGTCCGGTGGAGAGCTTTTTGACTACATCTGTAAACATGGACGGGTAAGGGTTGATTGATTTCATTCACTGGAAGGACATTTCAGGTGGAATGTTGTTGTTTCTGCCTTTACAAAGACGATACTGCTTTGTTTTCACTGAGACAAAGTAAAATCTGAGCCAAACGCCGCCTTTTTCAGCAGATTAGTTCGGCCGTGGACTATTGCCACAGACACATGGTGGTCCACAGAGACCTCAAGCCCGAGAACGTTCTCCTGGATGCTAGCAAGAACGCCAAGATCGCCGACTTTGGTTGGATTTTTTTTTTTCGAACGGAAACTCTCAAAACTAGCCTATTTCTCCATCCATTACAAAAGCCAGTCTCATTAGGCCTTTGAATTTAGTAGTCCCGAAAAACACAATTGACACTGGTGGTCCACAGAGACCTCAAGCCCGAGAACGTTCTGCTGGATGCCAGCAAGAACGCCAAGATCGCCGACTTTGGTAGGATTTTTTTTTTTTTTTCGAACGGAAACTCTGAAAACTAGCCTATTTCTTCATCCATTACAAAAGCCAGTCTCATTAGGCCTTTGAATTTAGTAGTCCCGAAAAACACAATTGACATCCCATCTTGGCACGTCCATTTTTTAGCAAATAACGGATAATATCTGCTAATTGGCTTGTGCCAAACCGCGACTGTGTCGGGTTTACAGTATTACTTGTAGCAGTAATTCACAACCGCTGTTGTGCTGAAAGAATTTACGAATACAAAGAATGTTTCTTTAGTACTTTACTGCGTCTATGTCACTGACGTATAGTGACAGGCAGAACAATGAAACGTTATTTCATTCGATGTCAGAAGATAACATTGAAGCTGTTTATCCACTTGTTTCTTGCCAGTCATACAACTTACTACTATCTTTGAGTTCAACTCCAACCGCTGTTGTGCTGAAAGAATTTACGAATACAAATAATGTTTCTTTAGTCCTTTACTGTATCTGTGTCACTGACGTATAGTGACAGGCAGAACAATGAAACGTTATTTTATTCGATATCAGAAGATACATTGAACCTGTTTATCCACTTGTTTCTTGCCAGTCATACAATTTACTACTATCTTTGAGTTCAACTAGTATAACTTAGTCATGGGTTCCAACTTAGAATACGTATTGATTGCCTGTATCGGACCACAAAGAGGGTCAATACATTTTTCAAAACACCTATGCCAGCAGCAGTGAGGGGTCACCTAGCAACGAGCAGGTCTCATATCAGCGCTGGCAAGATGCCTTGAGGCCCAGTGTCATCCGATAGGAAGGGAACTGGGGGCGCGCCAGGCGGGGGGGAGGGTTGACACTCAGGGGGTGTGTTTTGTTGGCGAACCGCAGACTGGCAAGCGGTTGGAAGGAGTGTTAAGGACACTGGGGATGAACGATAAAGGAAGGTCAGCACATAGCGGGGGGGTCTGGTATCAGAGTGTTAGCTGAGGCCATGAGAGAGCGAGCGTCATCTGATTAGGTGAGCTTTGTTGCTCAGCGCTTAGAGACTTGGCACCTAAAGGCGGATAAAGATTGAAGTGTGCTCTTTTCACCCGTTAGACTCGTCTGCCGGTCGGAAAATAGTTGATTTGACACAAATTGTTATACTCAGTTTTGGTCAGGTATATGTTCGATATCGTGTGTGTTTCTCCGGCTGACAGGCCTGTCGAACATGATGTCCGACGGTGAGTTCCTGAGGACGAGCTGTGGTTCGCCCAACTATGCCGCCCCGGAGGTCATCTCGGGAAGGTCTGTAACCCAGTTTAAAAAAAACCACTGTCATAAAGGCTGTAATTTATGCTCGCAATCTGAGTTGTTTGCATATGAAGAGTAAGTCATAACATACTCTATCACGCCTTGTCGTCAGGCTATATGCAGGCCCAGAGGTGGACATCTGGAGCTGCGGCGTGATCCTGTACGCCCTGCTGTGCGGCACTCTGCCCTTCGATGACGAGCACGTGCCCACGCTGTTCAAGAAGATCCGAGGGGGCGTGTTCTACATCCCAGAGTACCTGACGCGCTCGGTGGCCTCGCTGCTGATGCACATGCTGCAGGTGGACCCGCTGAAGAGGGCCACCATCAAGGACATCAGGTGGGGACTCGAGCGCAGGGTTGGAAAATGTCAAAATTGCCCATTAGGTATCAATTTGAGTTTTTTTTGTTGTCATCTATACATGCCATACGACCTAGCTTACGACCAGTTCAGGGTATACCCTGCCTCTCGTCTAAAATCAGCTGTCCAATGTCAAAATCAATGTGACCCATGAGCACAAAAGTTTGTCCATCCCTTGCCCAACATTATGAGTTCATTAATTTCATTTTCCGCCTCTCAGGGAGCACGAGTGGTTCAAACAGGATCTGCCAGGCTACCTGTTTCCCGAGGATCCATCGTATGACACCACCGTCTTGGACGAGGAGGCCGTCAAAGAAGTGTGCGATAAGTTTGAATGCAACGAGTCCGAGGTGGTCTCCAGCCTCTTCAGCGGCGACCCTCAGGTATCAGTCAGCTAAACGCAGTCACCGTATATTTCCAGGAATCTACGGATGATGAAAATTGACATGTGAAAGGCAAATAGTGCACCATAAAGCCACCACCCAACATTAGTACACGTGTACAGTCTAAACAGATACGGTTGTAAATAGTCTACAAACCGCTGCCCTAGTCAGAAGTAAGTAGTGTTTGTCCATGCAGGACCAGCTTGCAGTGGCCTATCACCTCATCATCGACAACCGGCGCATCATGACACAGGCCAGCGAGTTCTACCTGGCCTCCAGTCCGCCGCAAGGCTCCTTCATCGAAGAGGGCATGCCGCTGCCACCGGGGGTTAAGCCGCACCCGGAGCGGATGCCGCCGCTGCTGGCCGACAGTCCCAAGGCACGTTGCCCGCTGGACGCCCTCAACACCACCCGACCCAAGCCGCTCGCCGTCAAGAAGGCCAAGTGGCACCTGGGCATCCGGAGCCAGAGCCGGCCGTATGACATCATGGCGGAGGTTTACAGGGCCATGAAGCACCTGGGCTTTGACTGGAAGGTGGGCGAGGATGTCTCATACGGGGGTGGCTAAGATTTTGTGTTCAAGGGCCACATTTGATTATTATAAAGGACAGATGGGGTGGGGCTTGGCGCTTAAAGTGTGTATAAAATATGTATTTTTTTTTTTTCAAATTCATTTTTATCAACCCTATAATGTAAAATGTGACTGGCCATATGTGGCCCACAGGCCGTATTTTGCCCACCCCTGGTCTAATACAATGTTTTATGCATCCCACAATTATATTTGTGTGGTAGGTGGTGAACCCGTATCATCTGCGAGTGCGCAGGAAAAACCCAGTGACGGGCAACCTGGTGAAAATGAGCCTGCAGCTCTACCAGGTGGACAACAGATCCTACCTCCTCGACTTCAAGAGCATCGACGGTTGGTGACAGAAACACCACTCGTGCATTGTTACTTGTCAGCTCCTCAACACATTGTACAGGGTAACACTGTACCAGCATTAAAAAGTAAATTTTACAGATGCCCCCGTTAAACGCTGCTTCTAGTTGACTTTGAATTAATTCCCTTGTTGACTAATTAGTGGACAACAGAAGATCGAACTCATGCCAAAGCTGGGACAGGATACTTTTGGGTGTTTATAAACTCAGGAACGCAACAAAATGTAACTGACCTCCCCTGTCCTCCGCGTTCCAGATGACATAGTCGAGGCTGCAGGCTTCAAGTCAGGGTCCTCCACCCCTCAGCGGTCTGGCTCGACGGCTGGCCTGTACCGGCCACGCCTCAGCATCGACTCGGCTAGCCACGTAGCAGAAATGCCTCAGCTCAGCTCGTCCCTGCCGGGCTCGCTGTGTGGCAGCTCGCCGACGCTCACCCCACGCCAGGGCTCGCACACCATGGACTTCTTTGAGATGTGCGCCAGTCTGATCACCACGCTGGCGCGCTGAGAGGAGTGACGCCAGGAAAGCGTCAAGAAGAAGGAGGAAGACAATCAGTCTTGGCGTCATCATCAACTTGAAAGTGGGACAGGACGTGAAAGGGGGCGGCAGCAAATCTTCACCTGACAAGTTGCAAAGGTTAAAAAAAAAAAAAGACTACCCCACTATCGCTGCTGGAATATCACCGCCTACCGTAACACTTCGTCCTGACGCTGATCAGAGGTCAGTTGTGAGTCTCGCGGGAGCACGTAGATGATTCCATTCTGGATCTAGATGGAAAAGGCTGTTGTCCGTGTACATTATATTTATCTCACAGTCACATGATGTAGCTGAACGAGGAAAATCACTTTATAGATTATTATGATGATGATTATTGTTCAGATTGCTACTTATTTTGTGGAGAGAGATTATTTTTAGGCATTGCATTATTTGAAAGCTTTTTATGATCATTGGAAAGGATAGTGAACCTCACATCATAGCGGGACAATAGAATGTTCTGCTTGGTACTGACCAGTGATGCATTTATGACAGCACAGACCCACTCCATCTCGTTGACCTTTTGTATCGCAACAATATAACGGACTAGCAGAACCTCCGAAGCCATCCTTTAACTTTGACAAACTGAACAAGCAATGTTTTAAGTAACATTCAACCATTTGGGATTGACAAATGACGAGCAGCCCTTCTTTCACAGTAACTCGCCCACGTATAAAATCAAGTTAAATGGAAAGTAGAGAGCACCCCTACTATTCACGGGCTAAAAATTTGCGATTAACTGTCACTGCCTCCTTAATAAGAGGTTTATAATTGTCATTACTTGGCACCATGATGCCACAAGATGGTGGCAAAGTAATATATGAAGCTCCTTCATTATTCATCGGAATAGGTCGTTGACGACAAAGCAGCGTGGATCGGAGCAGAACCCCCCCCCCCCCCACACTGTGAAAATGGGGCTCACTGTAGTCTCAGAGTAAAATATAAATAGCCGCACGCTAATATTAAGTAACAATAAAACACTTCAGAAGAAGTTCAGAATAATGTTATTTAACTGGCACACAGGTGTAAAATAAAATCAAAGTTGTGTAAAACGCGAAATTATGACAACCTAGAATCCAGTATTCGGAAACAATAACACGAGAGTGATGAATGAGGAGAAATGTTTTAAAATCAAATACCATTTAAACGTCGCTAGCTATAGGCTACCATTTTCAAACAAAGCACTCTTGAATGAAGAATGAGGAGCATGTCATTCTTTAACTAGCACACAAATATGAAATCCAAGTTTTAAAAACTAAGACATCTATTTAGAGACGATAAAACACTTACTTGAACTGCAACTATCTCACAAGTGTAAAAACTAAATGGTATAAAACGCTATCACATAACTAGCAAGAAGCTCACATAGCAGGTGACCTACAGCGTCATTCAGCACACTACTTCATGCCAGATAATCTTGTCTTATTTGTGTCCAGAGTTATCCTTCCCATCTGGCTGAATTTAGGTCAAAATGTGTACAATATTTCAAGCTGCTCATAACAATGTGCACAAGATTGCAGACACACGATTAGTTGAGTAATGGCTGATCGCCCGTGGAAACAGACAGGACGCGCGTGGCGATCTGTAAATTTGATGAAAAGACAGGCGATGGTTCTGGCGTCAAAGGTAAAGCGAACGAGCAGAATCATGAATGCTGAACCGGGAATATGCGGGGCTTCGCTGTAAGTAACTTTAAAAGAAGCACTGTGAGATGGTGTGTATCTGTGCACGCCATACAAAACTTTTCCAGCTGCCTTAAACAAATGCAAACGACTACTTATATATGCTGTGTGTGTGTGTGACTACGTTATTTTAGGAATGTAAAACTATGGAGGAAAGTCTGTTAAAGTTGAATCATCCTCTTATGTTCGATAGTGCACTGTTGCCTTTCTGCTGTTTTAGTTGTTTCTTACAAACACTAGTCACGGGTCAGTGTGGCCGGCTTCACACTTAATCCTCCCCAAAATATGCGCATTATTTTGGAAAAAGAAAAGGAACAAAACAGGGCCAAGAGAACAAGTTTAATCATAAAACTTTTTTTTTTTTTTAAAGATTCTTAAACGAGTCAGTTTGACCCACAACATAATACACCATTACTAATCGGTTCTGTATTTAACATTAGATAATACTTAACCATAAATGTGTATTTTTAAAATCGCTCTCGAGTTTATTACATTTTTTTTAAATGTATTTTAAAACAGGTGAAATTGGACTGCAAGATAACAAAAGGGTTAAACAAAGAGAGGTCAGTAAAATCAGGCTAACTCAGTCTACTGCTGGTATTAATTTATTCGTTTAAATCATAACTCAAGGGTAGGTAGTGATGAACCAAAATCTGTGTGTAAATGAAAATGCATTTGCAGGAGTTCAAGTTTCAAGCAACAGGTGGCACCATAACATCATTTTAGCCAACTACGATCCTAAATGAAATTGTATTTGGAAAAGGCAATGAACCTTTAAGTAAATAGTAATACAATTATGTTTTTCCTTCATGGCCTATTTATTACTTATATCATAACTTCTGAATATCACACACACACAATATACACACATTATATATATTATTGTTATTTGTAAAGTCATATCTATAAAAGTAACTGAAATGTATCATTCGCTTAAAATTCCTCCTTTTCTCGTATTGACGTTGGAATAAAAAAAGTCATACTTTTCCTCATTAATCTCAGAAAGTAACTTTTTTTTCGTAATTATGACTTTTTGTCCTCTAGTTTCCTGTCCAGTGGTCCCTTTTTTAAGATTTAATTTTCTGATACGAACACTAGATGGTAGCAAAGGACTCAACTCACTTCACAATTTACCGGAGTTTGCCACATAGTGACTAATTCTCAAAAAAGAGTACCAGTTGTTTAATGCCACTGAAAGTATCAACGTCGCAGTGGTAGAGCCCTGATATCTAATCACAAATGGTGTTGAAACACATGTAGACAGACAATATAACAACCTTGACAGGCCTAAATTCTTTATCCTCTGCAAAAAATGGCTACCATGACAACAGCTCATTTGATTCATGTATTAAGCTGCCCCTGGTGGCTAAGGTGCATCCACACACTAATTACAGATTTTCACATATAACGAAAATTGTTTTTATGACCCTTAGTTCGAAAATTGAAATCTTTTTGCCTCACAGTCCAAATATCATATTTTCAGTTTTATTTAAGCTCGAGTAAAATTGCAACTCAGTTTCAACTCATTTACATTTCATTATATTTTCAACAATAATCCCATAATTGCAATTTCTTTTTTGATTTACATTCATCCTCCTCCATATCATTAAAACACATTAAAAAACATTCATAAAACTTTTTGGTGTGTTCACCACTTAACCCGCTTTTGTTCTTTTTTTTGGGTGAGGAAAGGCGGCCCGCCCCCAACGGAAGCCACTTGTTACTTGTGCGCCGACAATGACAAATTAGCAGCATTATTATTTTCCCTTTGAGGCCGTGGACTGTGATGTACTTGTCAGCTGTGTGTGTGGGTGTGTGTGTGGGTGTGTGTGTGTGTGTGTGTGTGTGTGTGTGTGTGTGTGTGTGTGTGTGTGTGTTTGCATTTGTGTATACACTGTCTCTGCCTGATTGTGAAGGCCCTGGATTGATCTCTTTATGCATTGCATGGAGTTGCTGTTATGATTTTTTGCACTTTAATGAGTATTTATTGAAAAAAAAAAAACAATGACCGTAAACAAACATACAAACGTTCTATGTGTTGTGTCTCCATTGATATTTTCACACACTGTGATAGAGAGAAGTCCTCGGAGGGTGCCTAAATGAAGCGAGCTCAATGATGTTTAAGGATGATTTGGTTTTAAAGTCACCAGTTACCATCTTAACGCAAGTGTTTTTTTAACAATATTCATAATGGCCTGAACATTAGGTACACCTACACAAAAGGACAAAATATTGTAAAACATGTTCCGTCTGTAATTCATTTTATTTATTGTTGTAAGTAAGCGTTAAAGGACAAGAAAACAAGTTTTGGTCTGCCAAATATTTGAATCGCGTGTGTACCTCATGTTTAGGTTCATGCGCGTGCGTACATGTCTGGCATTTGTGAGGCTAACCAAAGAAATTCCCCCAAATATTTGAATCGCGTGTGTACCTCATGTTTAGGCTCATGCGCGTACATATCTGGCATTTGTGAGGCTAACCAAAGAATTCCCTGATGAAATTTGGACGACCGTGAAGGGAGGAAGCCAGCGGCAAAGTATAATAGCTCCTTATGACGATTATATATTTAAATGCAATTGTATTTCCTCATAGACTCAAACACTGCAAACTTGTAAAGGCTGGAGAGGAACCTGCAAGTTGAGCAGATCGGCTTTTGGGTTTTTTTTTTGTGTTGCTCCTGTTTCTCTCCCCTGGGAATCCCAATTGTGTGCTCAAAATAGTCGTCGAGAAGAAAGTCCACCCTCTTAGGAGTGCACATAATTACAAAAAAAAAAGAAAAATAACAATAACAAAAAACAATAACATCCAGAAGGTCCACCTGGGAATCCCAATTGTGTGCTCAAAATAGTCGTCCAGAAGAAAGTCCACCCTCTTGGGAGTGCACATAATTACAAAAAAAAGAAAAATAACAATAACAAAAAAACAATAACATCCAGAAGGTCCAAAAAGGGGAAGGTGTCACAGTGTGAAGAAGGGCGCCCCCCTCCTGCTGCAAAACAAAACAGAAAAAAAAAAAACCAAAACACCTCAGATGACATGCACTCAATCCTCAGCGACAGCAGTTTGGATGCACCCTCACCCGTCGTCGTCTTCTCCTTCTTCTTCTACTTGCTCTTGTCAGCGTAGAGCTCTGGAGGAGGTAAAATGAGCAAATCGGGATGTTCGAAATCCATTGCCTGAGGCCTGCGGCAAAAAACAAAGCAGATTTTTTTTTTTTTTAATGGTTGGACAGGTTTACTTCCAAAATGCAACACCTGTTATATTTTGAGTTATGGAAGGTTTCCTCTTAAGTCTCACAACATACATTTCCGTCTCATATGATGAAAATCGCCGTCGACGATTTCCTCTTTATTACAAACATGATACAACATAGAAAGAGGAAGAATACATGGCGACTGAAGTTTAAAACCAAACCTGTAGCGAATAATAAGTAACTAATAACACTTTGATCACTTCCGACAATTTTCTTTTATTTTCTCATGCAGCACCCTGGAGTTACTTGTGTGCGTGTGTAACTTACTGGTGAACGACATGCTGGCTGCCAAGCACAGGCCCTGAAGAGCAAAGTAAAGGTGCGTTAGTTGGCAAGTGACGCCCAACAAACATGCCAAGGGGAAAACGAAGGACGATTGTTGACACTGTCAGCAAGGTGTTCATTGACGATATCTTGATTCTTTTGCTTTCTCAATGTTTTCTTTTGGAATCATTTCTGGTCGCTGATTTGATTTTTAGCGATGTTAAATGTCAGCTTGGCAAGTTGGTACAATTTTCAATGATCCGGTTGGAGAGCCCAACTTGAAACCCACATTTGAAACCTTTACTTAAAAAACCCTAACCCGGGCTGGAAAGCCACATTTCGAACCATAATTTGGAAACACTAATCCAGTCTTGAATCCCGAATTTGAAACTGACTTCAAGACCTAGCCAAGGCTTAACCCATCGTTAAAATAAAAAGAAATTAAACTCAAACAATTCTTGAAAAAAAACTTGGATCAACCTAAAATCAGCGTTTATCACGAAAAGCGGTTGTACGACTTCCAATTTTTCAAGAGGTGACTTTCCGGGGTTCTGCATCAGGTAAAGAAACCTGAATTTCCCCAAGATGTTTGTGTTTCGCAAAAGACACTTTTTTGTGTGTGTTTTCCTCTCTGGGGAACTTCCTGTGTGAGCGCTCGACTCCCAAACAAGATGGCCTTTGTCGTGTTTTTTTTGCCGGAGCACATCAAATGGCAACTCTTCAAACAAGTCAGCCTCTACTCATCCGCCGCAACTCAACATCAACCTGAACCGCATCTGAGACTAGACGAGAGGTAAAAGGTCACACTCAGTGCTCCTGCAATCGGTATTTCTTCATACCTCCAAGTTTGCGCTCTCCCAACAAGAATTCTGTACAGTTTTTATTTGTTCTCGTGTGAGATGTTTTCGTTGTTATTGTTCCTGATTTCTGTGGGTTGGCAGTACTTATGCTCTAATTTATTTTGTTTTTTTATCCTTCAGGGCCACCGTAATTGTACTGCACCCGACTAAAATGTGATTGATTTAGAATGAGTTGGTGAAATGTCTTAATTTTCAACAGACTTTATTGAATTAGACTATCTATCGCCTCTACACTATGTATTGCCTCTTCACACACTTCACACACGCCACTTTTCAACATCTGGGAAAGAACCCAATCGATTTTGAACCATCCCGTCATCGACCTTTTCATATAATTATCCTTTGTTTTAGAAACAGCCGTATTGATGTTTAAAAAAATGATTTCAACACCACATTCGGTAGCATTGTTCTACATTGTTGTTCAGCAGCTTTTCCGTATACTCTAATTGTTTTATGTCTTAGAAGCAACCTTATAAATATTGAATTATCTCTCACCAACTTCTAGGTGTCGTTTGGCTACATTTAAGACAGTTTATATTTGTTTTCCTTTGTTTTAGAACTGTACTGATAAAAAAATCTTCTAATAATTGATTTTGAACTCTCTCTTCACTAACTTTTTAGTTATCATTGTTCAACGTTTTAGAAACGACCTAATTGATTTTGAACTCTCAACTTGGGCAGCACAATGGGCTCCGTTGTGAAGCCTATTCCTATGCCTTCCATGATTTTAATACATTTGGACAAAGATGAATTTTGAGGGATGACTTACTTGTTTCTTGTTCATTGCTGGTGCTGTAAAAATAAAAACAAAAAAGTCGTTTATTGTGGCACAATATGTTGTATTGCGATTTTTTCGGTATGTTGTTTTGCAAGATAGACACTAGGTGGCAGCACACGCCCGCAGCTTCACAGGGACTTCGCGATGGACAGCGGAAATGAGGCTTCTTATCATCAAAGTAAAGGAAAAGCAACAGATGTGCTTCGTCGTTAATTTATGTGCCATATTTCTTAGATTTCCAGGTTCGTAACTTCATTTTTTTAATGTATGTGACTATAATTGTGTGTAATCAAATGGGGCCAATGCTATTAACCAGTTTAGCAATGACTACGGCTACAGCCTTGTTTAAAATGGCGTCCGTACAGTGCAGCGGGAAAGAATGTTCTAATCTAGTTCATCATTCAAATGTGGTGAGAAGCTAGAAGGCAGCCATTATAATTATTCCAATCTGTTTTCATTAAGTGCAAATGTAATATGTCTTAATTGCAAGATAGACTTAATCTGTTGTAAAAAGTGAATACAATGGAACCTCAAGTTATGAACTTAATTTGTTTTGTGAGACCATTTCTAACTTGAAATATTAATAAATCTAGGTCACAATTAAGTTTAATTTTGGTAGATATGTACGGGGGCACACTGAGATGTGAATAGATAATTTTGTACGATGATATCCAACTACGGTACTAACCAGCGCCTCAATGTAAAGCCGATACGACAACTATCTCATGATTGCAGTCAAAAGTTAAAATGAATATGTAAATAAAGATAAATGGAGAAAGAGCAGCAGCTGTCCCGCGTCGCTGAATTATGTGCTATATTTCTCATATTTCCAGCGCACACCAGTCAACAGATCGCCTCTATATCTGCCAGTGGGAAGCTGGCCGGGACCCGCTACAAATTGAGGTATGTTGTGGTAGTATTAGAGTGCATCAGGCCTACCTGGCCGTTGGCTGTAATGAATTGGATGATTGGAAAAATGTAGCCAACTTTTGAAGCGCTTCATTCTTGGCTCTGATCAAAAGTGACACAAAACATAGACATTGTTTTACAGATTATACAAGATAAATCATACAAGTCAGTGTGAAAGGAGGCAGTGAACTCACTGGACATTGGTGCCGCCTGCGTGGACGTCATTGCGCCTGTGCTGGTGGTTAAGGTTGAGGTCTGCGTGTGCTTTGAGGAAGCCAAAGAAATACTGTCAGTACACACAGTCAGGTAGACTAGTAGTAAACTAGTAAATGCAGTGCATGCTGGGATTTGTTGTTCCTGCTTAGATGGGATAGGAGAATACAGTGATACCTTGAGATACAAGCGACCTGACTTGAGAGTTTTTCGATACACGCCATCGATCGGGGGGAAAAAGAGACTTCAAGCTGTTTATTGCTACCCCCCCTGAAATTTAATGTCTAATCATAAAATCAACAGAACAGAATTGCATGTTATGCGTTCAAAATATTTTGACCTAGTCTGCTAGCTTCTTGCTCATACAAATTAGGATACGACATAGACAAGTGGCTCCAAAGGACAGAGAGTATAACAGACAAATAATATAATACTCACAGATATATACTCTTTATCCTCTGCGAAGAATGACTAATACCACTGTATCTTATTGAGGAGCAGACTCCAACTCCATGTATTTTTCATTATTATTTCTGTATGTATTACAAAGTACAATATTTAAGACTGCTATGTTCCTTATTAAAAACATGACGAGGCGTGCCGGAACAGAATAATGGCATTTGCATTCTTTCAGCAGGGAATTATGATTTGAAATACGAGTGTCTTGTGTTACAAGTGTGGTCTCGGAACAAATGAAACTCGTATCCCAGGGCACCACTGCGCTAAGAAATAGAAATATGAGTGATTGGTACCTATGTCTGGCATGGAGACTGCGTGGTTGTGGCTCAGACTGGTGGAGCTACAATGGCGCACGGAGGGCGGAAATGAGTAAAAGCAACAACAATAAGTACAAAGCCAAATTTCGCGTGAACTCACAGGGGCGCCTGTGGGTACGTCGGGGAGGAGAGCGCTTCCTCGTCATCGGCGGTCCATTCCTCACTGTCATCTGAGACTAGAAAACATTAAACTCGTGTCTAGTGACTCTAATGTCAACATATTTATAATCAAGACAAACAGCAAAAACAAGAAGAAAACACTTACAGCTCTCGGCTGATAGCGGGTAGTGGTTTGAAGTCCTGGTAGGGGGGAAAATGAAATCATGAATCCAACAAATGTATGTTGACTAAAATACATATCGTCAACCAATAGAAGGCATATATCTTTTGTTGTTTACATGATAAAGGGAATGTAGATTGAAGAGATTTTTTTTTTTTTTTTTTGCATGTTGGACAGCGACAGTATGCTAGGGTCATTGTCTTGGAAGTTTGCTTCTTTGACAATTTCTCATTAATATTTTGGCTTTCATTTTTAATTGTTTACTAAAATATATATTTATTGTGTGTGTAAAAAGCATGACCGGTATCCATAAATTAGTTTTTTTTGCTTTTTTTTTCCTTCTAAAGCTCACAATGAACATTTTATTTTGAGAATAAAACATGTGAAGAAAATTGGCTTTTCATTTCAAAAAGCACCTTTAACTGCCGTCCAGCACATGTCATTGCCGAGCAATAAAAGGCATGGCCTCTTCTGTCCACTTTTTGTCCCCTTTTTTTTTTTTGCAGACTGTGTATATACACATTTGGCTTGTGATTACACTGAATGGAATAAGCAGAAGTGTATGGCTGTTTTCTTTCTTTCCACATACCTACTTCCCGGCATGGCGATGTCCGTTTCCACTGGGCTGCTCATATGAATGCTGGATGCTTTCTTCCCTAGCTCCAGCATCTCCTTGATGTCCAGCTCCACGTGGTCCACCGCTACATACCCGTCTAAAGAAAACAAATAACCCCATCAAGACTCCGTTCGTGGTTCAAGGAACATGCACGTTCTAATGTCGTGTGACTCACAGTTGTTTGCGAAGTCCCTGGCCAACCATTTTCCTTTTGGGCAGTTAGTGGTGCGAATGATGCTGATGTTGTCGCCGCTCTGGACGGGCAGGTCGTCCTTGCGTCCTTTGGTTGTCACGGTAACCGTTGCCCGGTACATGGCTTCCTCGTAACCTGTGATCTAAGGCAGATAAACACATTGTGAGAGTGGGCTTAAAGTGGGCAGACACTTTTGAAAGTAACTTCTTCTTCAAGGTACTGTGATTAACAACTCATGTTGTATAATTTGAGTCAAGAACAAAGAAAGTGCATTCTAAAACAGTATTTATTTGATAGTTACCCAAGGAAAGAAGGCAGAAAAGTAGTTTTAGCAAAGAATGGGAGGATGCAAAATAAAAAGCAGGTCTCAGGAAAAGAAGGGAGGGGAACTAATGAAGGGTGGCAGACAGAAGGGTCAAAGAAAAGGAAGGGGGGGAAACGAATCAAAAGTGAGATGTAAGGAAAAAAGGCAACAAGGCAGGACGAAGGAGAAGAAGCAAAAGCAGAGCTTCGAAGCCGAAGGAAGGAAGGAAGGACATGACAAAGTCAGGAATGTCGGTTAAAGTGAAGGAATCGGGGGAAAGAAGAAAAACAGACGAACTAGAACCAAGGCAGAAAAGCAGATTTAAGCATAATAAGGAAGGATGAGTATGATGTATGAATAAAAAGTAGAGTTGATGGAAGGAAGGAAAAAAGAGGAGAGGAAGGAAGGAAAGTCGGAAGGAAGAGGTATAGGAAATGGTACGGAAGGTGGAGAAAAAGGAAGGGAAAAAGAGCACCTCAGTGGAGGGAATGAGGTGAGGAATGAAGGCAGAAAGTAAAGTAAGAGGGAGAGAAAGAGGTCAGGGAGGAAAGAAGGTCTGAAGTGGAAGGAAGAAGGTAAATAAGGAAGGCATAAAAGCAGGTTTAAGAAAAGGAAGAAAGGATGTAAAGATACAAGAAGAAAGGAGTCAGCAAGTAGGTCTGAGTTGGGAGGAATGAGGTAAGGATGGAAGGCAGGCGAGTAGGATGGGAGGAAAGAAAAGAATGAAAAGAAGAAAAACAGACCTCAGGCCAAAGGAATGAGGTAAGGAAGTCAGAATTCGAGGTTAAAGTGAACGAAAGGAGTTCAGGAAGGAAAGAAAAACAGACCTTAGGTGGAAGTAGGAGGAAAGGAAGGAAAGATGCACGAATAAAAAAACCCGATGTGATGGAAGGCAGAGGAATAGGTTTCAGGAAAGGAGGAGATCAGAAAGGAAGAAGCAAAAGAAGGTCTGAAGTGGAAGCAAGGAAGTCAGAATAGCATGGTGATGGTCTGCTTTTGGGCCAGCATGTTGCATTTGAAGTCATGTCCGCGACGCAATAAAATCCCCTCCCACCTACGGGCTCAGCCGGTCCAGCGGGAGGAATGAATGCCGACAGGTTTGTAGGCCGCCACCTTCCAACCGCCCCATTTCACGACAGCGTCATCTGCCGCCCTGAGCTCACCTTGAATTTCTTCTTGATCTCATTCTCGCGCTTCTCCCGCTCCTTCTGCTCTTTCTTCTCCCGCTCTTGCTTTTCCTTCAGTTCCCTCTTCTCCTTTTCCAACCGCTGCTTCTCTCGCTTCTTCAGCTCCTTGCTGTCGGGCCCCTCTGCCACCAACGTGGACTTCTTGTCGCCTCTGTCCACCACAGGAGATATCATTTCAGTAAAACTTGAAATGCAATTAATTGTAAAGAGTAAATTAGTAAAATATGAATACAACAATAAAGTCAATGAAAAAAAAATTGACAGAAATTTTGATTGAGATATAAAAATAAAGTACAAAGAAAATACCAATCAATACAATCAAATAAAATGATCGTAATCAAAACCAAAATAATAAAAAGTAAACAAATAAAATATACATTATCAAACTAATACAACATAAAAATTTGAATGAAATACAAATAAAATGCAATTAACACTAGAATTTAAAATAAATAAATATCTTAAAATAAAAAACAAACTGAAAATAACAGTAAAATAGCAAAATGCTAAACTATACCAGAAATATAAATGATGATAACAATAGTAAAAAAAAATGAGGGCCTTACTTTCCAAACCACCCTGTCTTGTTATTGCCTTCATTCTGCAAAAAATACAGATGGCTTGATTCAGTCTACATCTGATTGAGACGCTTTCTGGCACACTTTTATCAACAAATCCACTTACAGATTCCCGAGTGGCTTCGGCGTATGGATCTGTGATAGAAGAGCCATTGCAGTGATTTCATTATGAATCATTTACATGATGCAACGATACAACACAACAGTCTTCATGTTTATAAGTGAGCCACCTTTCGTCCCAAATCCTCTTGCTCGTCTTAATACTAATCGCATCCATCACAGATTCAAGACTAGCGGTGGGGTTTAGCAAAGCAGCCCCAGAACATAACCAAACACCATCATTTCTTAACTGAAGAGAACATATACAGTACTGACGCTCCAGAACGCCTTGATCGTCTGTCATTGTACCCTACACAGATTTCAGATACCTAGCGTACCATCTCCCGCAACATTGACTATCACTCTCCAGTTTGAGTTCTCGGAGTTCTTACTCTTTGGAGGTCCTTTCTTTTTCCTTCCCGTATCAGTCTTTGCTTTCCTATTAGGTGAGTAAACGTCATTATGGTAGTTGTTGCTGTGAGCTTGATTTCTGCAGAACAAATAGAAAAGTGAAAAACTCGAGAAAAATCAAAAACATTTCAATCATGCGTCTTACACTGCCATTGCTTGACCGTCCAGCGAGGTAGGGAAGGAGGAGTCTGCCTGATACGATGGCGGCTGGTCCTGTAATTTGCTGTTAAACGTCGGCAGTCCTTTGGGGCCCGTTAGCATGATACCGTTGTTATCTAACGGTGGAAGGTTCTTTCCGTCTGGAATATCTGGACCGCTGTACTCCCCATTGGCCGATTGGGACACCACCAATCCTTGAGAAACTGCATCAGCAGTCCCACCCCCAAACTTTGGCTCATTGTTGGAGGGCATCTCTGGCAATTTGGAAGGCACTGGGATCGCTTCGGTACAACATAAATCAACATTAGAGAGCTGTTAAAACAGTGTGTCCCAAAAAAACTGTTATGGGCAGTCAAAAAGTGAGTAAATTCTTTTCAAACATCATATACATGCATTTGGTTTCAAGTCCAAAAGTAGTAAACATACTGTTGTACTTTATTGGCGGAGGCGGAGGGTCGAAGTTGGGGGTTTTGATGACTGGTTTGGCAGGCTTCTTTGGAGGAACCTCTAGAGAAGCCTGGTCCAAGGGGACATTCCTGGGCTGAGGAGGCAAAACATCCAACAGCTCCGGTACGTCCAACGTCGCAGAGGCTTGCCCTGGGCACAGTTTTTACCTCATTAATTCCAAATTTCTTGATGTTATCTCTTCTGTTAAGCTTGACATCCGACGACTGCGTTTCACTACATTTAATGCCTTGAATGGAATGCAGTCAGAGGAAGTTCAGTGGTGGATGACCTGTAGGGTAAGCTCATGGGAGTGACAGAATTTGATTTGTGAGGAAACCAAACCAGCTGAGAAAGTTGTTGGGAGGTGATTGCATGGCAAACTTTGGCCTTCAGATTTACTGTATAGATTCGTTCACCTTTGCAGTAAAACTGCTTTACAACATTTGTCCATCTCTTGACAAAACTAGAAATCAGAGTATGGGTAAATTTTGGGAGGATTTTATGGTTCACCAAAGGCAACAAAATTCTTTGCAACTTCAGAGAAATTCCTTATGTCGTCGTGACTGACTCAGTTCACTTGTTGCCAGTTCTTACGAAAATAACACATCAGTCAGGAAAAACAGCCTTGATCATATCACTTAAAGGGAGACTGGTAGTCCAATCAAGCACAGATCCCGCGCGTTTGATTGTCAGACAGTTTACTATACCGCACTGATAACATATGAGGCCATCTCTCAAACGGAAAGCCCGAAAGAAAGGAGATTGCTGAGGACTTACCACGATTGAGACTGTTGTGCTGTGTGGCCTGAGAGTCGAGGTCGATGGGTGGGAGGTCTGTCAGCGAAAAGTTGGGGCTTTGAGGTAGGTGGAGATCCTCGGGAGGCGGCGTACTGGAAACGGAACTGTTTGTCTGAGAGCTGAGACCAGAAATGTCAGTCGTAACTCTTAGTATTGTTAACATTCAGACATAAATGTCGTGATGTGTATTTCTTACTCGGTGTTGAGCTTCCTGGAGGCCTTCTGTAGAGCACTGAGTATTCTGTGGTCGCCCGCGTTGGACCTCCTCACTTGGCTCATGTCTTCGGCCCTCTCTAAGACTGAGAGAGCTGAAACTGAACCTGCGAGAGACGACAGGGGATCTTCGAGCGGGGTCGGGGGCCGGGACTTCAGCATTGCTTCGATACTTATAGCTCCTACACCGCCCGGAGCGCCATGTGCAGGCTCAGGAGAGGACGGCATAAGGGAGGAGGCTTGAGTTGGTGGGATGGAGATTGTGTGGTAGACGGGTTGAGGGGGTTGCACTCGGCTAATTTTACCTTGATGGTTAAGTATGGAAATGGGAAGGGGTGGGGTTTTCATCTCCAGTGGCATTTCATGATCTGGAGATGGGAGATAAGGAGCTGGAATATCAGGAATGAAGGAGGGGCGCGGGGTGAAGCCAGGAGAGAAGGACATTGCGACATCCGAATTGGGTGAGGATAAAGAGTTTGGCGAAATCAATTGCGTCTCTGGTTTTACGTCGTCAAACTCAGGAGGTGTCGGGATGAGCGCAGCGAGTACAGGACTGTCCATTGTGGGCGTGTCCAATATGGGATCGGATGGAACCTCGTCCAGATTACTTTTTGGAGGCCATTTAAAAGCCAGACAATCTTGCATCTTATTAGAGTTAAGAACGTGAGAGGGAGCCTGTTCTGACACCAGATGCCCGGTGGTCACCAGCTGAGGCTTCTTGTCTTTAGCGCCGTCTTTCTTCAGCTTGTGATACAGTGAATTCTCATCCAGCGGCTCCTTTCTTCCTTTGGTCAGTTTTTCTTTGCCGATCTGAAGCCTCACGTCGTTCTTGTCCATCGAGGTTTTCTTGATGAGAGGTTTCTTGCTTTCCTTCTTCTCATCCTTAAAGACCACCCTGGGGGCCATGATGGTCCTTCCCTCCAGGGTCTGGTTGATGGAGGTTAGCAGGGAAGGGCGGGCCCCTGCCGGGAGGTAGTGCCTGGGGCTGGTGGGAGGAGGGACTGTCTTGGGTTTCTCTGGAACGGTGGGTTTTTTTCCGGCTTCCCTCAACAGGACGTCAGCCTCTTGGAATTTCGCCCTCAAGGCCTTTAAGTCCATCGTCTGCTGGTGAAAAGAGAACTGCAAAATATCAACCTCACTTGCAAGAGCTGAAAGCATTGTACTCTTAACGTTGTTTTGATAACAAAGGGGCGCGTCCCTTGTTCGGCTGACAAAGCTTATCTCCAGGTGACTTGTAAACTGTCACGTTTGCATATAAAACGGTCTTTACGCCTTATCTGGGAAGTCAACCCCAAAAAATGTTCTTGACAAGAACACTCTAAGTTCTCTGCAGCCCTACTCGTCTAAACGCAGCATTCTGATTAATATTGTGTTTGGAATATGAGTTAAGCTGGTTTTGTCCATCTCAGGGGGTAGCCATTTTGCCACGTGCTGTCGACTGAAAATGACACGACAGTCGCTTAGGTAACGGCCAATCATGACTCAGCTTCAGAAAACAGGTGATCCGTGATTGGTTGTCACATGAGCTGTGAGTAACTATGAGGTCATTTGTAGTCGACGAAAAGTGGCAAAATGGCCACACCTGAGATGGGTAAAAACGCGTGGATTTTGCTGCTTAACTCATATTGCACAAAACTAATCTGAATGCCGTGTTTAGACGAGTGAAGGCGCATAGAACATATTAATTGTGAAGAAATTTTTGGGATTGCCTTCCGCTTCAAGGCAACCTTGCCCAATTTTTCAACAGGGAAGGCGTACCCCTTTTCTGACGAACAAAAAGAGAAAAATAAAGAACCAGCTGGTCATGCAGCGCTCCAGCTAACGTTATGTCGTGTCAGGAGCACATTTAGGAATATCCTTTTTCAGCACAGAAATGACTGCTAGGATTTTTTAAATGTTAAAATTCTTGAGCTACGCACCCCCTTCAGCGTCCCGACGGAGACAACGCATCCATGCCAATTAAGTTATGTGACAAAAATAATGCAAATTAGCCACCACAAGCTAGGTGCGGAGAGATAAAATTCATTTGAAGTTGCACATTTGAAATATTCTTTCAATTTTTAAGCCACGCACCCCCTTTATCATTCAGACTGATTTGGCACACCTTCTCCAGTTCCCCAAAATGTAATGTGACAACATAATTCAAATTTGCCACTCAAAGTTCAGCGCCATTTGCTATCATTGATTTGAAGTTGCACCTTTTTAACCTACGCAGCCCCTTTAACATCCAGATTGAGGTGGCACATCCCCTGTCCCTTGCGCACACATTAAAAATAACCATGTGACAAAAAAAACAAAGTCAAGTCAGACATTTAACACCGTTTTTGATTTTACACTGCGCACCCCGGGGGGGTACACGCACCACCGTTTGGAAATCTCTCTTTTAGAGCATAAACATGTGAGTGTATAGAAGCCTATATCAAAATATTTGATCCACACACCCTCTTAAACATCCAGACCGTGGTGGCGTGCCGCCTCTCTCTTGCACACACCCTCAAAAAAAATGATCAAAACATATTTAGTACAAGCTTGACTAAAGCTTCATTTGAGGCTCAGTCACAGCAACAATATGACAAAGGATCATGTACATTCGCTTGTTGTCGATGTCAGGTCTCCATGAGGACAGATTGTGAAAGAACGCACCTGAGCCATCGTATTTTGAGGTCCTTCCGAAGTACGCACGACCAGTCAGTCAGTTTAGCCTCTCATGTTAATTGTTGCCCCAACATATCGACCATTAAAAATGAAAACCACTGTAGTAAAACTTCTCACACAACTCTCATGCACACTTAAGAAAGTTCCCGTGGAGGAATGAAGGCAAGTACGAGCACACACACAAAAACAGTCCTATCCCGTCCAACGGGTCTGCTGAAGGACAAATTCTCGAAAGAGTTTGGATGTTTGTTTTTTTGTTTTTTTTTTTTCATCTGAGAGGAATGTCACTCGGCCGGTTTGTCACCGTCACAAAACCTCGCTACTGGTGCGCATGTTTTTTATTTTATTATTGCTATTATTTTTTTTAACAAATAAATGAAAGAAAGGATGAATGTTTGGAGTATTTATAACACTTTTTAAAATGATTTGTTTTCAGATTATTATTATTTTTTTTCCCGTAAAAAGAAGTAGACCAAAAAAATAATCGGGGGGGGGGGGGAAACTTACCGAAGTGGTTCGGCAACATTCCAGGCTTGTAACGCAGAAGACAAGTTACTTCAATGATAACATACATAGAGAGCACATTACATACTTTCCCCACAAAGCCATTTTCAGGATTCATTTGTTAATATTTTTTGAAATTTCGGAGGAAATTCGCTCGCTTCATTTGATGGCTTGAGTGACTTATTTTACATTTCTCAACAAAAATATAAAGGCCACACTTTGGTTTTTGCTCCATTTGCTTCATGAGCTGAACATCAAAGGCCTGTTTTCTTGCAAATATAGTTAACAAATCTTTCTAAATCTGCGCTGGTGAGCACAAGATGCTGAATACACAGTATAATTATTGCACAGGTCGTGCCTTAGACTGCCATCAATAAAAAGCCACTCTAAAATTTGCAGTTTTACTGTATTGGACACACCTGTGAGTTAGTTGGATGGATTATTTCGGCAAAGGAGAAATACTCATCAAAACGGCTTTTGACAGATTTCTGAACAATAAGAGAAATGGGCCTTTTGTGTGTCTACTGGAGAAAAAAAGTCTTGGCTCTTTGAGTTAAGCTCATGAAAAATGGGAGCAAAAATGCTTTTGATGCAAACTGGACACGCCATTATCTTCTTTGAGTTCGTCGAAATAATAATGGATGAATGCATTCAATATAATTTACAATTTTATACATAATACACATTTATGAATACAAATATATGAATCAATAATAAATCAAAACCATTTGAATCAATCAAAATGAAACCACTACATTTGGCTATTGTTTCCATAAAATAAAAATTAAAAAAATAAATCTGTGCCTTTTTCGCGCTTGTCCTCATAAAGTATTTCATTAATAACCACAAGCGCAACTTTTTGATCTTTTGACACTCTGTTTACATGTGCTAAAAATCATTTTAAGAGTACTTGAAGCACAAATTACAGCCAACAGCAAACGTAATTGAGATGTGTTTATTTGGAACAGTAATACATGGTTGATATATGGAAATTAAGAGCAAATACAAACCTAAAAAAAAGAATAAAGGAGAGAGAAAATAAAAAAATGATTGAAAACGGCGACTGCAGAATGTCAATTATTCGTAAAGATAAAAATAATGTCAATTTACATTAAGAAACTGTTAGCTGAGGTAAAATCTAGCAATGTTCCCGTTCCCTTTTCTTATGTAAGTCATCTCTAGAACATCATCATCATCATCATCATCATCATCGACATCAGGGTCCCGAACAAGTGACTTGAAAAAGACTGTGGCCATGAATCAGGGAGTCGCTGGATGAAGGCAGTCACATGGGCAAGTAGAACACAGTGCAACCTCGAAAGATGGACGCCGACTAATCTAGGATTGGTTTCCAATGAATGTTTCCTCACATTAAATCATGGAAGTAAATATAAAAACCAATCACACACAAGCAGTGATGAACGGGTGCCTTGCACGGGCTTTTTCTGTGGCGAGGTATCAAAGACACATTTAATGGCTTACGCTATAAAGCTTGACAATTTTCGCGTCGTCCATCTGTCCAGGATAGCCGCTTCCGTTTGGGGGCTGATTTGACTTTGTTCTCCAGTTTCTATGGTGTGTTATCCAAGTGCGGATTGGCCGCCTTGAAAGAAAATAGCCGACTTCCTCTTCAGTTTCAGGTTTGAGTCCTTGACTTTTTCATGTGTCCTATTATGAGTGACATGTCCAGCGAATCTTGCATCATTCATTGCAGGGAACACACAGATGAACAACTGTTTACGTGCACACTCACACCTGGGTACAATTTAGTGTGTTCAATTAACCTATCGTGCATGTTTTTGGAATGTGGGAGGAAAACGGAGTACCCGGAGGAAACACACGCAGGCACGGGGAGAACATTCATATTACCTGATAATACAATTTAATGGCCATATTATATGTGTCTGTTATTTATCAAAATGTTATGGATTTCAACCACTTTATTTAATTTAGATTCATTTTGGCTTCCATAGGCGGTGAGATGAGCAAGACGGAGCTGTAAAAAGAAAAGGGTGGCCAAGCATTGGACTACACCCGGGGAAACGCATGTGGCTATTGCTTGGGTTCAAACATTTGCATAACTGCAAGCCTCCCTATTTGATGGCACAGAGATGTGACACGGTGGAGACGGTGAGTCATGTTTCTTTACAAAATGGCAAACCCCATGATCCAGATGCCTTTAAAGCCACTCGACAGAACTCCCTACAGAGCTGAACCCCACATTGCGGCTCAATTTTGAATTTAAAAAAAAAAAAGAAAGAAAGAAAAGAAAATGTCATGTTATATTTCTCTTCAATTGACTCTTTTCTTCATTGTTTAATCTCCTGTCATTAGTATTGTACAAAAAGCTATAGAGAATGAACTCTGTGGCCCTTCCACATTGTTCTGGTCCTTTTAAATCAGTCTGCCGGGAGGGTTGGGCCAACTGTATTGATGTGTGTGTCTGTGTGCGTGCGTGTGTGTGTGTGTGTGTGTGTGTGTGTGTGTGTTTGCGTGTGTTTGGCGAGTGAGGAGCTCCCAGAGTTTGTTTCTGCACCCGAGTCAAACCAACGACGGGCCTCTGCGACAGTCTACGCAGACGGCAAAGATGGCAGAGGAAGCCAAGGAAGGAGCGAGGAGAGCAATAAGCGAGGGTGGGAAAAGTCTAGACGTGTGGATACCTGGCCTGCCTGGAGTCAGTGAGCAAAGAGGAGCCAGGATGATCACACACACACACACACACACACACACACGCACACAACTGTGGGGTTTTGGGGGTTGTGGTGGTGGTGGGGGGGGGGGGCTCTCTCCCTCCTTCAGTTTTCTCAGTGCTGGTCCCGGCTGCCTTGCTGTTCCCGTGTGTCTCTATTTCTTCCCTTTGTTGATGCGGGCGTACAGTGGGTCCTTCTTCTTCTAGGGGGGGAAAAAATGGAGTTACATTGTGCTGTTTCATTGTTTCCTTTATTTTTGGGGGCGTATATCTATCTATCTATAAAGTTTAAGCAGCACAGTGATTGGGTGGTGAGCACCTATTCCTCAAAGTTGAGAGCTTCAGGGTTCAAATCTCATGCTTGCAATTGAAAACAAATGCAATTCAGCTCATGCAGGGTGAACAGTTCACACAAATGACAATGTATGATTTTTTTTTTGGAGAATCTTACCTATTCATGTCATAAAACCCCCAGGAAATAAGACCCCAAACTATTAAAAAAAAAAAAAAAGAAAAAAGGAATGCTTGTTCTGTTCCTTAAGTGACCACTGGGTGGGAGTAGCACACTAGCTTCAAAGCGGCTCATCACTCAGCCGGCATGATTTTTAATATGTGATCAAGACCGCACACTAAGAAGTGCCTGACCCAATAATCGGGTGGCCAACTTAATTAGCTCTTTTAAAACGAGCAACCTTCTTGTTTGGACCCGATGTCTGAATAAGTCTTCAACTTTCTGACTCTATTTTCAAAGGCAGCGCAATGTGTGCTCAGTTGTATAGTCTGGAGCGTGGGTGTTTTCTTTTACATAGCGTACCTGACAATTTGATGACTGGAAGGAGAGTAATCTTTAGAGCAGCTAAAAGCAGATTTAAGTTGTGGAGCGGGTGGTGTTACACAATTTCGGTGGATTTGAGCGAGGCGCAGGTATCATCATCCGCAAGTGGAGATCTTGCAGTTCCATATAAATGTACTCTTAGGACATTAATCTCCTGCATTGACTCCATCGAATCAGTCCTGGTTCCGCCATGTAGACCATGTGCGTACCTCTACTGCTCTTAGGCTTGAGTTGCCTCTAAATTGCAAGCAAGTTGTGGCTTGGATCAAGTAAGTCACAAGTGAAGTCATACAATCACAACAATGCTTATCACAGAATACTCACTGTACTGGATTGCCATATTGGTGTGAATGATTTACAAAAAAAAAAAAAAAAAATCCTGTGTTGAAGACCAAAAGTCTTTCATGGGTGACAAGTCCTGAAAATGATGACTCAAGTTTGAGTCAAGTTACGTGACTGGGAGTCGCCCCTCTGTGGTATTTGTGTTAAGTAGCTGTACTAATACATTCACAATCATGCGTCTTTTTAGTCAGGACAAAATCTGTCTTCGTATTGTATTTTCTAAACAAGCCCGACATTCAGCTAAGTCTTAAAATGGGCATTTGAGTCTGACTCAACTCAAACAACTTGAGTCACGTGACTGGAGTCCCCCACGTCTGACTCCGATACTGTCACACAGATTCCCTCCGCTCGCGGCCATGAAACACCATCGTGACTCATCGCGTCTGCCTCTCGAGCTCGCCACGGCCGCTTGCTATTCTACACATAATTACAGTCGCCCACTCCAGCTGCCGTGAAGACGGCTCGGAGAGGGGGCCTGTTATATCATGGAGAACTTCTCTCACTTTGCAAGGGCAGACTGGCTTCCCACGCAACGAACTGCTACCCGACGGATATTGTGTGTGCGACACATGCACAGGTGGCAAATTTTCAAACGGATCCGTGTCAGTTCAGCTCGTCACACTATGCCTCGGAACGATATAACCCGGATTCAGTTTCCGACCCGACACTTCGATCCTAACCAGGGTTTGAATAGCTGATTTGAAACCCTTGAAATCCTAATGTAGGGTCTGAAACAGTACACCAGAGATGAAACCACCGATTTATATCCGTAATTCGGTCTTGGAACTGTGGTTTGCATACCTAATCTCGGTTTGAAACCCTAAACCACATTCAAACACGTTTCAGCAACATTCAATTCAGTGATTATATTGTCTACCACTAGAGGGAGCCCTCCACCTCAGTGTTGGCTCGTGGCTGGAGCATTTGGACCAGGACTTTAATTGGACTAAGAAAGCAGAAGGCCACTGTTGATTTGGTTCTGAGCTGGGAACAGACCGGGACAGTGCTTTTCCGAGCCAATGTATTTCACATTCTGGACCACTGGTCATGGCGTTAAGAATGTTTTCCCTGGCCCCTTGGCTCATTCAAATGAGCTAATTACTGAATATTTATTTATTTGCTGTGCTCTTGGCTGTCGGTGTAGCCATCCGGTTCTGGTTAATTCGGTCCATGTTGCTGCGCAATGCGACAGACAGATCATGATTTTGGGAAACATTGCTACATTTCATTTTCAATTGGCCTTCTACACACATCCTGTGGACCTCAAAACCATCATTTCAAACACCAAACCTCGTTTGTAAGACCAACTTTGGCTCGAAACCTCATTGCCAAACTCTAACCCTAGATTGAAGTCCAATTTCAAGCCATAACTCATATTTAAAAACTTATTCCATATTTGAATCCCGATAGCCCTATTTGGAGACCATGAAACCAACTCTGTCACTGTCCTGACTTATTTCCATCGCTCCCTGATGCAACACACCTGATTCCAAAGAGCCGCTCATCAGCAAGCTCTGAAGAAGCGCGAGAACGATCCTCCTCATTTGAATCAGCTGTGTTGCAGCAGGCACGAATGGAAAACGGGCAGGACTGCAGCCCTTGAGGACCGCCTTTGGACACCCGTATCTTAAACCGTTTCAAGCCCTAACAAAGGCGTGGAACCCCACTTGGAAAAAAAACGACTTTGAGACACTAAGATGGGCTTGAAACCATAATTCGAAGCTCTCACCCTGGCTTGAAACCCCACTTTGAAACCCTAATGCAAGCTTGAAACCCTAAACCTGGCATGAGATTTCACTTGAAAACCAAAATGCTGGCTGCAAAACAAAAACAAAATTGAAACCAAAAACCCAGGCTCGAACACCTCATTTGAAACCATAACCAGTATTAAAATCCATCTGTGAAAATCGAATCCTTGTTTAATGCCCTAGTTTATTATTTTTTTTATAGCTGCTATACACAACTGAATCGAAGTCGTTTTGCTACCAAAGCATAAACGCGCTTTCACCCGAAGTCCGTGCTCCAAATCAAAGAGGGCATGGGGAGGCCTTGGAACCATGATCCGAATAAAATGTTCTCGTGTCTGTTGTTCTAGGTGGGGGCGGGGTGGGTCGGAGGCATCGGGGCCTGGACAAGAACGGCGAAATGAGATTGTTCGGTGAACCGTGACGGCGGGTCGTTTTACTCGCTTTCTCTCCGGACGCACCCCCACCTAATACATTGGAAGGAAAGAAAAAAAAAAACAACCAAAAAAAAACCCCACTAGATGAAACAGGTGAGTTTTTCAGCGCAGACACCCCCAAATTCGACACGAGTTAAAATGTACATCCAATTTTAAAATAAATAAAATAGCGTGCTCGCTTTCTATATTTTTCCTAAAACCCTTTTGGTGTGGGCCGCATTGAATTGGATCGTTATTGTGGAATCAACTAATGTGAATGCACATTAAAGAAGTCGGGTTTACCGCAGCGCTATGTCTGAAACGTTGACCCAAATTGCTTTATAAGCGATTGCGATCGAATGTGCTAATATTTTTGAAGGTCCTCTTTGCGCGGATTTTTTTGACAAACACAAGCAAGAAATTAATCTGTGTTTGCACTCCACATTTTCAAGTGGAATGATTTGTTTTGGTTGCATTCGGTGACATTGCGATTTGATTCCATTTCAAAACGTTTAATAAGGAAGGGCATGTAAAAAAAAAAAAAAAGTGCTCCAAAGCCCAAACTATTCAAGTTATTTCAACTGTAAGAAACAACATATCATCAACAGCATCAAACCACTTTATTCCGTTTTATACCTGCTGTCCATCTCTCGTAAAAGACGATTGGATGCATGTCTTGAAACATGGGGGATGCAATTTTAAAATGTTACTCTTGGATTTGGTCAAAACCGATTATCTGACTCAAATTGGTTTACATTGCATATACAAATGAAAAATAAAGCCTGCTGATGGACCGAGATGCCCCCCCTTATTGCCAAATTGCCGCCTTTGCAATTGAACATTTCCTTCTACTAAGTAGCAATGCCGATTTGAACTGGATTAATTATTCAGCCGCAGTACACACACCAACACACGTTTTGGCTGCAATATGAGCCCAGTTGGTCACGGTATCAATCACAGGTGTGCTTGTCCCGAGGATAAATGGGCCTAATAAGAAGGTGTGTGTGTGTGTGTGTGTGTGTGTGTGTGTGTGTGTGTGTGTGTGTGTGTGTGCCCCCTTCCCCCCTCCCCTGCCCGTTATTGTCCACCTGCTGCCCTTCAGCTTCCAGACTTTCTGAAGATGAGTGTGTGTGTGTGTGTGTGTGTGTGTTAGGGGGAGGTGTGTCAAGTCGATGCGATTGAGCAAGTAAACACCATATGGGAGTAACATCATTGGCAACGCTGCCCGCCTCCTCCACAAGAACAGCTCGGAACTTGGGGGGGCGGCACCCTCTCTTCTTCCGAGTGGAGACAGGATCAGGGGGGAGGCTTCTTGGGTTTGTAATTAATGGCAATTACGCAGAGGCGGTCATTAATCTTGGCAGCCCGGAATTAGCTGATAAAAAACAAAAGCGTCCGTTGCCAGCAGCCTGTCCTTAAGGAGACAGCGTCTGGAAGCATCAGGGTGAGGACAACAAGGGTTTCAAACTAGGCCTTGAAACCCAAACACGGACTTGTAACACTAATTCGAAATATTATCCCTGACTGGAAACCCTGCTTTGAAACGAACTCAGCAGTTAAAACCTTCACTTAAAATACTCACCGACACTGAAACCATAATTGTGTCTTGAAATCCAACTTTTATAACTAAAATTGTTAATTTGAAAACGCTAACCCAGGCTTTAAAAAACAAACTAAGGGTTGCAAATCTAACATGAAACCCTGAGCCTGGCTTAAGCCTTGTGGGAAACCTAAACAAGTCTTGAAAGTCAAATTGGAAATGTAAAGCCTGCTTGAAATGATTTGAAAAACAAAACTTTGAAACTATAAGCCAACGTAGACGTAACACCCTACTGTGAAAACCTTACCATAGTTTTCAACACGAGCCTTGGTTTGAAAACCTAATTTGAAACCCTAATTTCAAACCTGAACCCAGGGTTGAAACTGCAACTTAAAACCCTGACCATGGCTTGAATCCCTACTCTGAAAACTGATCCTGACTTAAAACCCTCATTTCAAACCCTAACCAAGGGTTGAAACCATTGGTGAAAACTCTTAACATTGCTTGAAACCCTACCTTGAACACAAAATCTAATTCTGAAACCTTAACCTAGGACTGAGACAGTTATTTAAAACCCTTACTATAGTTTGAAAGCTTGCTTTGAAACCTCAAACTCTGGCTCGAAACCTTAAGTCTTGAAAACCTAAATTGGAAACCTAACCCAGGGCTGAAAGCGTAACTTAAAAACTCTAACCCAGGGTTAACACTCTTATTTGAAACCTAACCCTGGCTTGATACCCTACTTTGAAACTCTCATCACTGTTTGAAACCCTAAAACCATGTCTGGAAACCCTCATTTCAAACCCTAACCCTGGCTTGAAAACCAACTCTGAAACTCAACTCTGACTGACTACCCTAACACAGTGTTGACAACCTGAAACTTGAACCCAGGGTTGAAGGCGCGCCATGAAACCTTCTGCCAGGCTTGAAACCTTACTCTGAACTCCTCCACCTTGTTTGAAACTCTTTGGCCTGGCATCCTCGTTCACGTTGCCTCCATGTGGCTGTCATGTCCACAACTATGATTGCGCGTGGTCTAAACTTGACACACGCAACAGGCTGTCGTTGCTTGTCTAGCATCGTTCTTGCTGTCACCGTGCGATTCTTGCTCTCGCGGGGACCCGCTTTGTCCCCGAAAAGCTGACACGGCGAGCCCACTATGGTCACATGATCATGTGCGGCGGATGGACACATGCAAGGCCTGGATACAAATTTGGAATATGGTTCAAATAAGATTAAAAATTAGATAAGAGTGTCATTAAAAAAAAAGACAAGACAGAAAATGGATGAAGAGGAGAAGGCGGTGGTGGTTTTGGGGTTGATACCTACCGCGCCCTGCTGCTATCTAGCTCCCAGCCTCCGGACTGGCTTGGTCTGGGCTGGGCCCTTTTGGCTCACCGGGGCAGGGCGACCCAGAACCACAAGCCTACAATTGCACGGCCGAGGAGGAAGAGGAAGAGGAAGAGAGATTGCCAAGAATTAAGAAAGGAAGCGGGCAGAAGGAAACAGACAGCAGCTTGTTAACAGCAAAGAGACGAGGAAGTCGAGCGGAAACAAAACGGAACAGGCGATCAAGTTAAGAGCGAGAAAGACTATCCAGACGCCCGGGGGGAACACTACGAAACCAAAACCTACAAAATTCACAAAGAAATTGTGCGAAATTTGAATAAGAAAATACATGCTTTCTCACAAAATAGGAACATCCTTGGAAGAACGCCGAGTGACAACTGCATCTTGTTGTGCAGTATCATTAAAAAGTGGCGACAGGAGGTTGCACAAACAAAAAACAAACACGCACACACGCACCTTGCGTTCCCTCCAAGGACCTGCCGCTTTTCACAGATCGCTTCACAAAAAGCACAAGCTGTGTTTTTTTTTTTTCCCCCTTCTCTTCTGCCTTCACTCAATCACGCTTGCTTTTATTTTTGCGACCTTTTCATCACGCCGCCGCTGTTGTACACTTTTATTTTGTGAAGCTTCTGAGTGTTATTCAAGCAGGCCCGGTGACATTTGCAGCGGTGTTAAAAAAAAAAAAAAAGTCATTCTCTTGCCCTCTGTCTTTTATTTTTTTATTCTCTCCTAAAATGGCTGGATTGGAGGCATAAAAAAAAAAAGAATGTTTCACGCCTGGAAAGTGAGCGGCTGCGGGTGGAGGAAGAAGGACTTGGAAAAAGAGAGGAGACATAAGGGTAAGAAAGCACCGGAGAAGGTCACTAACTCTGCGCTAGAGTGAGAAGGGAGCTCCTTTGCAGCCAGACATCTCTGCTTTCGTTTGAGCTGCGTTCTAGTCGAGAATGACTTGAATGTTTTGATGATGGCTGCTAATGAGAGCTTGCTAACTCTCTCTTCTAGTAATTCTCTGAGAGGATCAAGCTAACGTGGACGTGCAAAAACAAACGTTTTCTTGCAGAAACTCGGGAGGACGATTTACAATCAGTCAATTAATATGAATTTTTCATTGATATATTTCAATGATTTCAGGAATTAAGACTATTATACAACACAGGGAACCCCCGCGACACCGCAAAGTTTTACAGCAAAGTCACCAGTTAGACTTTGGTGTAGTACCACATTGTGCCACAACATGCCGGGGCAGCACTGAGGTCTTCTGGGCCTAAGTTAACAACATGAAGAAGAGGCAAAGCTCAGAAGTAATTGTAGAGTAAGTAACGGAGCATGTATTTATGGATTATATGCTAATAGTCGTTGCCACAGAGCAGAGAGAAAAGCTTGAAAATAAATAAAACATTTTCTATGGTCGCTGCAGATCACGGAGGTTTGCCGATTGCATGACTCTGAAACGTATCCCGGCTCATTGTTCAAGGGAACGCCTGTACAACGTTTGCAGGGGGCCAGTGAATATCCTCCAGTAATTGACAACCGCCAAAACGGTGTAATATTGCCGATAGATGCTAAGCACTATTTTTGTCTCAATGAAATTCCTCAATTCAACGTTGATCCTTGGCACCAACATTCCACAAGATGGTGGCAAAGTCATTTATGTTTTTGTCGAATAACCACGGATAGATTCCCCGCCCCAAAATCTGCAAGTAGAGGAAATTGCGATTGTTGAACCAAATACTGTATGTGAGGGTTCAATGTATCTCCAAAAGTTCTGCAACTACAACCAAAAATTGTAACATAAATCAGCATATATGTATTTCTATTAACTCACGTTTGTGTAGGTTGGTGACATTTGCTTTCTATCAGCAGTTACGAATCATAGCCCACAGCAATTTGGCTTGACATGAAACACATTTTTTTTGAAGTTAGCGCCTTTTTAGCATCGACTTGCTAAAACTCAGACATTTCCATGGCAAATTTGGTGACCAAACTTACAGCATCTTCCTCCCCGCTGCGGCTCGGGCTGCCGTCCGCTTCCCCAAACGAGTCATCCGTGGGCGGGTCGGTGGCGTCCGTAGGGGGGTCGCTGACATGCGAGGCGGACGATTTAGAGGGCGAGCTCTGGTGGGGGGCCGGTGTGAAGTAGAGGAAATTGCGATTGTTGAACCAAATACTGTATGTGAGGGTTCAATGTATCTCCAAAAGTTCTGCAACTACAACCAAAAATTGTAACATAAATCAGCATATATGTATTTCTATTAACTCACGTTTGTGTAGGTTGGTGACATTTGCTTTCTATCAGCAGTTACGAATCATAGCCCACAGCAATTTGGCTTGACATGAAACACATTTTTTTTGAAGTTAGCGCCTTTTTAGCATCGACTTGCTAAAACTCAGACATTTCCATGGCAAATTTGGTGACCAAACTTACAGCATCTTCCTCCCCGCTGCGGCTCGGGCTGCCGTCCGCTTCCCCAAACGAGTCATCCGTGGGCGGGTCGGTGGCGTCCGTAGGGGGGTCGCTGACATGCGAGGCGGACGATTTAGAGGGCGAGCTCTGGTGGGGGGCCGGTGTGGGGGCTGCAAGCACAAAAAAAAAAAAAAAAAAAAAAAAAAAAAAAAAGTCACAGAAGGATTATCCAGAAGGCCGGTGGCACCCCTGAAGAACGTACCTGAAAGTGATACTTAGGTCAAGTATCTCAGCAGAAAATAATTTTAGCAGAAGTAAAAGTCACCTTGTGGAATATTACTTGTCAAAGTATCTGACATTTGCTGTCCTCAAGGGTAGTTTTTTGTAGACTCACGGGAGTTGGTGGAAGGTGTCGTGGAGGTGACCGGCGTCAGGTTCATCTGGGAGATGTCGAAGTCGTCGCAGTCGTCTGTATCCTGGGCGGTGCCGACGCGGCTGAAGTAAGTGCTGAATGCCTCTGAGGTGCCCGCTAAGCCGGGCTGCTGCTCGCCTTTCTTTGACGGCATCGCCGGCGGCTTCACCAGCTGAAAGTCCTGAAATAAATAAGACGACTTTGTTGTACATTCGTTTTGTAAGTAGAGGTACCCACTGTACGACACAAATTTCCTCCAGCTCGTACCTTGAACATCTCTTTGCTCATCTTCTTCGCCCGCTCCTCATGTTGCGGACTCGACGATGCGGAGGGAGCCGCAGCGCCTGCTGCACCTGAATGCGTTTCGCCGGCCGGCGTCGCGGCGGGGACGGGGGTGAGCGCTTGGAACATGGCTGCGGGCAGCGTGCCCACGGGCTGGGCAGGGAGGTAGGCTGCGGGGGGGAAGGCTCCGGCCGCCATGGCCGCCCACTGCTGCTGGGTGGCGGGGAAGATGTTGGCTTGCCCCCAGATGAGAGGCTGGCCGCCAGGCAGAACCTGCGCCACTGGGCCCAGAGGGGACTGGACCCCGAAGGCCAGCGGCGTCTGGGCGGTGAAGGCCTGCTGGGACCAATGTCCGGAGGGAACCGCCCCCATTGTCACATAACCTGGAACAAGACAGGGAGTGTTTGGGGAGGGTCACCGACGGCGAACACTAATATTCACGGTGCACTATCAAATCCTGTTTGCGATTTGTGAATTCGCCGATTCATTTTTTTGAAACCTATCCTTCCTTACTGGCTGCGCACTTTTTGAGATGCCCTACTGAATCCTCACCCAAAAGAAAAGTAATGCTTTGGCACCATCCTGTGGCACCTTGGTGCTAAGGAACTATGTTGAAATGAGGGGAGGAGCTTCTATTAATTAGAGCAAACCCCTGTGTATTAAAAAACTTTGGTTACATGTTGGTGCCAAGGAACTATGTTGAAGTGAATGGAAGGAGCTTCAATTCGATAGGCCAAGGCCTTGTCTAATTTAAAAAAAAAGGGTGTTTTGGTGAAAAATGAGTTTGACACCCGTGATGTAGGCAATTATGAAGCATTTTTTGATCGCAGATTTTCATCGTTTGCCCAAAGACAGCTAGCATAGGATTCAGCACACCCGCGGCCCTGAACGGGATACTTTTGGGTGGGTGTTTTAGAGCATGTCGCCCCATGCAGCACCACTCTGAAGCAGATGGGGGTGCACTTAAAACATCCACATCTTTTCTTGGGCACAAAAACCTCACACACACACACACACACACACACACACACACACACACACACACACACACACACACACACGTCGATAATAATCCATGCATCACCAGAGAGCGCTGCCCTACTTGCGCCTGTAGCTAATGTAGCATCTCTTCACGGTCACGGTGAACTAGCATAATTACCTCGGGAATGAGGCGGCGTCGTTTCATCGAATCACACTCATTAAAACGGCTCAAATTCATCAGCAAAATCTTCATCTAACGACACTCTCGCTCGTCTTTTCGCTGCCTTCCGCCGCCGACGTTCGACCTCGCCGGCGTGCGCCAGGAGGGGAACTGCGGAGTGCCGAGAGTGTCTGCTCACGCCTCATTCGCGCACAAGCACCGCGACTAGCGAACCAGGGGTCGCGGCCATCTTTCTTCTCGGCCGCCTCGGCCCGCAGGTAAATCAACAGCATCTGAGTCAGCGCAGCTAATGATGCATTTTATATTCCACACACACAGCCGACGCCACCTCCTCTCCTCATCAACATTTCATTTCTATTCCATCCCTCTCTATTAATCACATCCTGTTCTTTTACTTCCCTTCTCACCTCTGCCAATCGGCTGTCTTTGACAAAAAAAAAAAAAAAAGAATTTAGGGATGTGCACGGCGTACAGAAGGAATATTCCACTCGTGTGAATTCAGATGAAAGTCCCGTGTTTTTCATACCTGAGGGCACAGACGCAGGGTTGTAGGGGGCATAGAGCTCAGCGGGAGGCTGCGACGGGTCCAGGGAGTTTGCAGGTGAGGCAGGGGTCTGCCGAGGTGACAAGAGAACAAAAAGTTTCAAGAGAATCCGAATCTCAAATTAGGCACGCGAGGCGGCTTCTCACCGACGGCGAGGTGATGTCAGGGGGTGTGGACATGTCCCCGAAAAGCTCTAATTGGTTGATATTCTGAGAATCAGATGAAGGACACACACTGGAAGTCAGGAAACAATTGTTACTTGGTCACGGCGGCATCGGTCGTCCCGTTGTAGGACATGCACGACTCAGAACGGCGCATGCGGAACATCAAACGAGCTGACGTCACTTACCTTGATGACTGCCGAGGGCAGCGGAGAGGAAGATGTGCAAAGATGGGGAGGGAGGGGGGATGAGATGAAATGATTAAGATGACATACCTACCGTGTCCACTAGCCAAAGGTGACAAAAGTACTCACATTAGAAGTAGAAATACCAAGGGGATGTATTGAAGAACAAAAGTAAAACCAATAATTTTTTGAACAACAAAAACAAAAAAAAAGTCAGACACTGGGTGGGGGACGTCGTACCTTAAAGTCTAGGTACCGTGACTTCGCACCACTGCCACCAACTACCAAAACAAACCGGCAGCAGCCGTATTGTGCCGAAATCCCTCCGGGCGAGTCATTAATGTCCTCCCATTAAGGAGGATCAGCGGCGCGCCTCCGAGCGTCTCGCTATCAAAGACGGGCAGCCTTTCTATTTGATCCGAATCTATTCTGTATTTCTGCTCTTCGGTAATTTGCCCCCTTCGTTCCGTGAATTAATAATATCTTAAGGCCGGCGCGGAGCGAAGGGAAACTATTTTTACTTGGAAAGGAATTTCGGGGCCTTGAATACACGGTCCGAGATTTGCATTAATTATGGATCCCGATCGTTTCTGAGATAATGAATATTCTTAGAATATCTTTGCGCATAAACCAAAAGGCTTAGGCTGAAAGATTTTATACACGCGCACACACACGCAAGCACACACAGTATATATATTACAGTATATATTTATTACGCCTATCAGAAAATGGAATCGGTGTGCATGGTGTTTTACATTTATGGGGACTGGATGGTGATTTAGGAAGAGAAGAAGAAGGGTCGGGAGGCTGAGTTATGGGCTATTCTAAGTGCGGAGGAGATGGCGATCGCTCAGCAAGACAATGGGATGCGGATATTGATGACGGCCACGTAAAACGCTGCATGTGCACGGCCACGTGTGATTGAACGCAGCAAATAAACCGCTTCCTCATACGCTTTCAGAATGGCAGCACAGACTTTCTCACCTAATGTCTCACTGGCAATGAAAGGGGAAAAAAAAAAAAAAAAAGGTTGTGCTAGTTTCTGCCATTTGCTTATTTTGGTCCCCGTGAGCACAATTTCGCAAATCGTAGACATTTCGGGACTTTTGTGCTAAGCTTCGGCCCCCTTTGTCTTTTGAAACACGTCCGCATGCAGGTGTCCATTCTGACTCTTGGTCGCTATGACAACATCAAGGTTACATGTTTTATTCATAAGCAAAATGGGGTCAGGAGTCGGGGGCGGCGGCTCCCGACTGCTCGCCAAAAAAAAAAAAACAAAAGTGCGGCGTGGTCAAGATGACAGGAGGTGGTCCTCACAAAAGTTCATACGAATCGCCCTTACCTGAGAAACCGTCTCAAGGTCTAAGTCTATGAGATCCGCCTGCTGATGCTGCTCCCGATGCTCACTTAGTCCCGCCTGGGGGGTTTGCGGATGATTATGAAGATGATGATGATGATGATGTTGGTGGTGGTGGTGGTGGGTGCTTTGATGTCCGTTCTGCAATCAACAACCTCAACGTTAGGCGGGTGGGATGAAAATGGGCCGGCATACGCAAAACTATATTAGCAGAGTTTCACACTGAGGGAAATGGAGGGGGGGGGGGGGAGGGGGGGGAATGAGGCTGATTTAGGAGGGCAGGTGTTGCTCTCGCCAGGTGCTCTACACACACGTACACTCGATACACACGCAGGAGATTTAAAGAGGTTTAAAGATCATCCCCACCTTACATCTAAACGACAGCGCTGAGCTCCCTTTTGTGTTTCTGTAAATCCTCCACAAGAGTCTCAATGTGATTGAGAAAGAGAGTCCGATGCATCTTCATCGCTCTCTTTTAAACACATTGAATTCATAAAGCGGCGGATTGTTATTGTTTTGTTATGGCCATAAAAAGGCAGCTGTAGTAAACAACAAACTACCCGTGAATTAGCAGACGCCTAATGGCGGTTTTTATATCATCGGTTCACCAAAATGTGGCATCATTTCAATGTATCGTTTCTGAAACAGCGTACATTTTATTTTTTTATCCGGGGATGTAGAGAGCATAGCTGTCAGACTAAATAAACAGGATATATGTTGAAGAGCTAGCTACATGCAGTATAATCTAGGTTGACAGCTATACTGGAAAAACTATACAGGGTGCGTTCGGAAACACGCTCAGAGCACGCACTGTTTTTTTCTGACCATTTGGAAACTCTAAGAGCGTTACTCAAATTTGTGATTGTTTGGACAAATTTGTTTGGTTCTTCAGAGTCCACCAAAAACCTAGCGCCTCGACTGGGGACATGGAGCGCCAGTGCTGGCTGCGTTCAGAAATCAATGAGAGCGGGGCGCACGGCTTCTCCGCATACACCCACGGGCGTCAGAGTACATTTCTGAATGCGCCCATACTGTCGTTACACTGTAGATAGATAGCTAAATGCTACATGGCTGAATGGATCGCTAAATGCTAACTCACTAAATGTTACAAACTGGGAAAAACAGACAGCTAAATTCTACATGGCTGAATGGATAGCTAAATGCTAACTCACGAAATGTTACAAACTGGAAAAAAAATAGCTAGCTAAATGCTATTTCTGCATTGATAAACTGTAACTAGCTAACTGGCTATCCTTGCCATAGACAGCTACTTTCAAAGTCCCAGTAGATGTTTTTTTTTTTCCCCGAGATTGTTCCAGATGATCAATAAACCTGGCAGAATAGCAAAATGCTACAAGTTACAGCCACATTGACAGGCAGCTAGTTGCTGCTACAATGCTGAAGATACAGGTCAACGCTATATCGTATAGATGGCTAAAATAAATGGGCAGACAGCTAAAAGCTACAGAATATTACTTTTCGGTGCCAGTCCGAGCTCTACCATGTCGCCTCTCTTGGTCTGTTCATTTGTCCTCGTACATTCCGGCCACTGCTTATCAATTAGCCGTCTCCGGTGGGGGAAAGTCTAATTACCTGTGTACGTGTTCTCTCTAGTAATTAATGCAGCCTTTATAATTAATGCCATCTTGCCGATCCCCCGCTGAGTGACTGATCACAACCACAAACACATTCAACACACACATACTGGCCACCGCTGAGGCTCAAACACCTTTGGAGCTGATGCGAACAGGACACAGAGAGATTACGGACATGCTTCTCCCCCCCAAAGATAATAATCGGCGGTAAAAGCGACTACTCTGTGTGGACTCAGCGAGGGCATGTGTTGATTCAACACTAACACTTGGTGCGGGGGTTCAAGGGCTCAGTAGATTGGAATGGCCTCGCTCGCGTGTATATTTTATCGATCGCCGGCCGTTTAAGATGGTGACACAGTAAATAACAAAAGCGTTTGCTTTGCGCAACGGGGGGGGGGGGTCACGTTTGGGAGGGCGTTATCATCTTTTTCGAAAATTCCATCCTGCCGATGAAATGAAGGCGAAATCCACTCCAAAGCGGTGCTGCAGGTAATCAATCCCGCACAAAAAAAGAAAAAAGAAAACGTTAAAAGCATCTTACCAGCAGCGGGCGATGAGCCAGAACGCATCCAATTGCAAAGTGCATCATTTCTACATTGTTAAGCGCAGTGGGAGTTCTTTGTCGTTTATTGCGACTTACTTGCTCAGGTTCGGGGATTGATTCTCAAGCAGTGTGCTGCGAGAAATTATCCCATTTCATCTAACTGGTTCCAAAAAGAATCATTTATTTCCAACAAGTAATGTGTCTTTGTATACCTGCCGATGTCGGTAACATACTGACAGGCAGAACAATGACGAGCAGATGCCCTTCTACTAACGCCAAACATGAGCGAGTAAATCCACTTTTCTTTTCTTCATTTTTGTTTGCGCCATGAGATTTTTTTTTAAAATACCCCACTCACATCAAGTTCTATTCAGGATATGGCACTTTTGGGTGAATTTCGGCATCAGTCTAAAATGTACTACAACCTCGACAGTTGAACTTCCTGTTGTTCACATTTTGACATCATGAGACCAAGATGGCAACTAAAAATTCTTCAAAAAAATCTCACCAAACAGAAAGAGACGAGCGGAGTCCTACCGGATCGCTATTTGTGACATTTTAACTGGATTAGTAAGGGGGTGGGGGGGATGATTATAATGGCATGTACATGATTTTGGTTCAATTTAGCCAAGATTTAAGCATTGATTCAACCTACTCAAGCAATCAGAGTCCGACCTCCTTCCATAATCACAACCCTCTTTGGGGTCTAATTGTAGCCATAAAAACGCAACCTGATTAGCACCCAATCACAACACAGCATTTGGTCATGCCTGTGATCCATTTGACTGTGATTACTGCCTTTGACAAACTGGAAGGAGAAAACATATTTATGTATATATATATATATATATATACAAAAGAGCGTGGTTTCGTTTTTCGAACAATTTCGGTTTTCAAACAGCCTTCTGGAACGGATTATGTATGAAAACCGAGGTTTGTATATATATATATATATATATATATATAAAAAATGTTGGTCGTTATCATGAAGTTGATGGATAAAGGTGTGCGTTGTTAGCAAAATCGGCCAATGGAAAAAAGAATTACGTGACATCAGGACTTTGAAATGTGACCGTTACAGGGGTGAAAACGTAAACGGGGTACGTTGAGAAGAGGTTCGACTGTATTTGTTCGCTTACAGACCCGCCGATACAATAGCCATCCAAATCGCAGCATGTGCCGCAGGATGGGCAAGGCCAAACACACACAGACGCACGCATACACGCACACACACACACACACACACACACACACACACACACACACACACACACACACACACACACACACACTCAAATGTGCTCGGGTGTCTGTAAGCTTCTTAGCAAAGCTCGGGATGAGATGCCCAAAAAAAGAAAAATGTGAGACTAATTCCCAGCCCGCCAAAAATTCACACAGGCGGAACTGCCTGCGGCGAGGTGGCCCAGCCCAGTTTAGCCTTTTAAGGCACACTAAACACACACGTACACATTCACCGAAGGAGCAAAAGTGAGTGGACTTTTGAAAACATCGGCTCCAGGTATCAACAAGAGACGGAGCGTTGAGACACTCCATGCACACATGAATGAGCCGTCAATGCCAGGGATGCCCCAAATGTCTTCCACTGCGGCCCACATAAAGAAATTTGAAAGCTTCTGTGTCTGAAACATGAACCAGCTGTAATTCAACATATGCAGCGCAACATAAATAATACATGATCAAAATATCAACTCGGTGTCATCCATGAAAGAGCAAAAAGTTGATCACGGTTTTCCCTTGCAAATGGAAGAGCGAAAATCCCCAAGTATGTGCCACCTAAAATGGTTTATATGGCCTATAATTAACACAAGATGGTGCCATAGCACTACATGAAGCTCCTCAATTCACTTCAACATAGTTGCTTGGCATTAAGATATCACAGGATGTCTGAAAAGCGCGACATCATTCTCCTCAACTCACTTCAACGTAGTCACTTGGCACCAAAGCAATACGTTTTTTTTACCTTAGCATTTTGGCCTGAACACAAAAAAACGAGGATACCCAACATAGTTGCTTGGCATTAAGATATCACAGGATGTCTGAAAAGCGCGACATCATTCTCCTCAACTCACTTCAACTTAGTCACTTGACACCTAGAGCCCACAAGATGGCACCAAAGCAATACGTTTTTTTTAATCTTAGCATTTTGGCCTGAGCACAAAAAAACGAGGATACGTAGCTTAAATTGCGAAACATTCAAACTTATTCACAACTTTTAAAAATACTTTTCATTATACTCATTTTTTTAACCCTCTCACCCCCCCAAAAAATTGTCAACTCAAAACCTTTTGATGCCAACTGAGATTTTTTTTTTTTTTAGACTGTGCGGCTGTGCAATAAAAAGCATCCAGCGAACCGGACTTTGGAGACCCCCTGATTTACACACAATCACACACACACACACGATGCAATGTATTGTGCCACTTCCCAAAACCTAACACGGCAGCTCAGACACACGCCCACGCACGCCTGACACACCCACGCACACACACACACACACACACACACACACACACACACACACGCACACACACACACGCACGTGGGAGAGCGGCCCGCTTATTACGACTCTGGAGATTTTAGCAGATTAAATCCAGCAGCAATATAAGCCGCATCTTTATGGGCAGATAAAGAGCAGTGGAGTTACAGCCCGCCGCTGCCGCCTGACAGTAGCCAAGGTCATCTTTCATTAGAACTGCCGGCAGCGGGAAGCCAATAACTAAAAAGATATACCACTCGCGCAAGCGCGCACGTCCACACACCGTCGATCTGCAGTGTAACGTATGAACAGGCGGGGGAAACTACAGATTTAAAATAAATATATCAACAAAGAAAGAAATAATGCAGCCATGGTGGGATGCCGTCATGTTGTGGCTGGTTGGCGTATGCGTGTAAATATCACATCAGAGGAAGATGACAGTGACAGAATGCGTCGCGTAATGCAATCTGGGACAAGGTCATGCGGGGTTTTTACACCGGATGCACCGCCAGCAGGCATGCTTAATTGAGCACCACAGACACGTTTACAGACGCACAATACACATAAAGCGCTGTCCCGGTTGACCACGTGGGGCACAAGGAGGAGGGCACCAGCCACACCGCAAGCGGAGGAGACGCACACTGCACAAAGCACTGGGTCCCAGCAAACCTCTCAGGGGGGCGGGGGG